TTAAACAATATTTTTTTTATTATTTTCATTTGTTCTTCCTTCCTTTTTTTGTCCAAAATTTCAAACTTCATGAATGAACACATGTTTTTATAATATTTTTAAAAATTCTCATTTTTATCTTACAGCTTGTACAGGGTGTCCCAATAAACATGGGAAAGAAATGACCACTTCTATGTCGTCTTTGTTCCAAGCGGGATTATTTCGTAAATATGATTTTTTAGTAACTGCAGTTAAAACATTTAACACCAAAACCTACTAGTCTCAGGATTTCCACAATGTGGTCTGTCATTTTTTCACCTTCAAAATTGAAAGAGATATTAGAAATTGGTTCAGATTCCAGTTATGTAAAAATCAACAAAATCTCCCTTAATTTTAAAGATACAAAGAAGGTAGACCTCATTTTAGAAAGCTGTACGAATTTCAATCTTTTGTGATAATGCAATTTATGAATTATCAGAATTAAAAGACGAAATTCAAGTCGTCTCTCAATTCCCATGTTTATTGACAAACCCTACAATCTATATAAATGTAATCTTTCATGTATAACCAAAGAATTTAAATGTCGTCTTTCATCTAGGATCAGCTGTTGTTGGCATTCAGCTGAATATGTTTTATGATGATATAGACCCTGTTGTTTCTTTTGAGACTTTGTAGAAGTTCTTTCAAAAAGATTTCACTGAATGCTGAATCTATTTTTCAGATAGAATGGCAGAGATTATTAAAGAAGAATTAAATATAGAAGAGTTTGAGATAAAGGAAGAGGTAGTTTCCTTTAAGGAAGAAATCCTTCTCTCCTCTACCGTAGAAGATACATGTAAAGATGATATAAAAAAAGAAAAAAAAGGAATACAAGGTGAGCTTAATAAATTTTACAATATTTTTTTTTAGTTGATTAAAAACGTCCAAGAAACTGACACCTTGAGTAAAACCTGTATTTGATCATGATTTTCAAACTGAGCCAATCATCAAACATGAATTCGAAGATTTTAATTCAGGTAATTTCGATTTTTGCAAAACAAGAGATACAGAAGTAATATCTTTTTCAACTTTTAGAAATAAAAGTTGAATAGGGTTTCTAACGTAATAGATTATTCTCTTACGCGTAATTACGTGCAGTTACTTGTAATAATTTTCATTTCGTGTAATTTTGCAGGATTATGCGTAATTGGGGAAATATCCATTTCGTGAAATTACGGCCTAATTTCGCGTAATTTCTACAACATAATTTCGCGAAATTTCGTAATGATTACGCGTAATAAGCGAAACTATAATTACGCAAAATTTTACGTAATTAAGGCGTAATTTGGCGTAATTTCTACAACATAATTACGTGAAATTTCGTAATGATAACGCGTAATAAGCGAAACTATAATTACGCATAATTACGGCCTAATTTCGCGTAATTTCTACAAGGTAATTTCAGGAAATTTTGTATTAATTACGCGTAATTAGTGAGACTTTGATTTCGCGTAATTTCTACAAAGTAATTTTGCGAAATTTTGCAATAATTACGTCTATGAAATTTTGAAGTTTTAACTTCTAATTTAAATAAAACAACTAACTTACAAGGAAAATAATGTCACGCAAGTTGAATCAGAATTTCAGCCAATACTATGTTGATGTAATTTTAAAAATTGTTTAACAAAGGGCCAACAATTTTTTTTTTATCAAAAAACACATAATCTATACCATTTTTAATTTTCAACGACTTGTTAATATTTCAGCCTACTTTACCAAGTTTACCTTCCTTGTTTGAAAAAATGTCGAAATAAAATCGTCAAAATATGTTTGACATGGTTTATTCTAGAGGCGTCGCTAAGAATTATATAGGGGGGAGGGGGGTTAAATTTGAACAATTCAATTTTGTACCTCCCCCCAAGACCATATACAACCCCATTCATGATTTATATTAAATTATGGGTTTCAGATGGGTTTGATTTTAAATTTTCAATCATTTCTGCATTTACAAACTGTTGGAAACAAAAATGAAACTGATGGGTTTTTAAAGAACAGCATCTTACGTCTTTTTTTTCCGCTAAGATTAAATTAAACTTGCAAAAAAAAATTTGCATAATTTTATGTTTTAAAATGTTGTCAAGGATTTAGATTCTGGTAATGAGAAAATCAGAAATGTTCTGTTTGGACATTATTTTACATGAGTTCATAAATTATGGATAATGAGCATAACACACCCTGCCCCCCTCCCCCAGTACACAAAGAAGCAGGTAACTCTTCAAAATATAAATCTTGGAGAAGATAAATTATTTTGTGAGAAAAAGTATAGTTTTTAATCTCTCAAAGTGTAAAAAGAAAAATTCTTGAGTTGAGGAGGAGAGGGGGAATTTTCTCCAAGAGTAAACCAATGTATTTTTCTAGGTGTACAAGATGTTGAAAACAGTAAACTTGTATTTGATCCCGATTTTCACACCGAGCTAATCATTAAAAACGAATATGAGGATTGTATCTTGTATGTATCTTGTTCTCAATGTGAAAATGCCGCAACTACTGCATATTCTTTGAGGATCCATGTAGAAAGTAAACATGAAGGATTGAGATATTCTTGTTCTCAATGTGAACATGACGCAACTACTGCATATTCTCTGAGGATCCATGTAGAAAGTAAACATGAAGGAGTGAGATATCCATGTTCTCAATGTGAGCATGCTGCAACTACGGCAAATAATCTGAAGAAACATGTTGAATATAAACATGAAGGAGTTAGATATCCTTGTTTGCATTGTGAATTTGCTGCAACTACAGCAAGTTATCTGAAGATACATGTTGAAGGTAAACACGAAGGAGTGAGATATCCATGCTCTCAATGTGATTATGCTGCAACTATGTCGAGTGACTTGAAGAAACATGTTGAAAGAAAACATGAAGGAGTGAGATATCATTGCTTTCTATGTGAGCATTCGGCAACTTCAGCAGGTAACCTGAAGAAACATGTTAAAAGAAATCATGAAGGAGTGAGATATTCATGCTCTCAATGTAATTATGCTGCAACTATATCGAGTGACTTGAAGAAACATGTTAAAAGAAAACATGAAGGTGTGAGATATCCATGCTCTCAATGTGATTATGCTGCAACTATATCGAGTGACTTGAAGAAACATGTTGAAAGTAAACATGAAGGAGTGAGATATCCTTGTCCTGAATGTGAACATGCCGCAACTACGGCAAATAATCTGAAGAAACATGTTGAATATAAACATGAAGGAGTTAGATATCCTTGTTTGCATTGTGAATTTGCTGCAACTACAGCAAATAATCTGAAGAAACATGTTGAATATAAACATGAAGGAGTTAGATATCCTTGTTTGCATTGTGAATTTGCTGCAACTACAGCAAGTAACCTGAAGATGCATGTTGAAAGTAAACATGAAGGTGTGAGATATCCTTGTCCTGAATGTAAGTTTACTGCATCTAGAGCAAGTTACCTAAAGAAACATGTAAAAAATAAACATAAATGATTGAGATATCCTTGTGTATGTTTTACCTTTATCAAACAATCTGAGGAGACTGATCATAAATACAAATTTGTGTCATTTATCCCTCTTTAAAAAATTAAGTAGTTAACAAAGTATTTTTATTGTATTATTTTTTTATTAAAAGTTTTGTTGAATTTTTCTTTTTTTTCACATTTTTGATTTAAACAGCTAGATATTTAGCCAAATATAGCAAGAAAAAATATTTCCAATATAACTTGAACCTGTGACAAGAGCTTGTTTTTCTTATTTTGAAAGTTTTTTTCAAAATTTAACCAGCGGAATTAAAAGCAGAACATGCTGACATGTTTGTATTTCATTTTGTATTCTCAATCTATTTTTACTTTTCAGATAGAATGGCAGAGAATATGAAAAAAGAAACTGATCTCAATGAATCTGAGATACTCTCTACTGTAGAGGAAACATGTTTTGTCAATATTCCTGAAAATGATATAAAGCGGGAAAATACAGAAATACAAGGTAAACAGTAGTTTATTAAAAAGTCATAAACGAGGCGCAACTCTCATGTTTTAGAAAGGTGTGGGGGGTTGGGGAGAACTTTCGGATGTGCCGAATTCTTAAATGTTTGTTTTAATTGTAAGGGGAAATTTAGTATTTTGAATCTCTCTGTAAAAACTAAATTTTTACTATTTTTTCAGTTTTTGCTTTTAGAATTTCTTTCTTTCAATGTTTAGTTTGTATATTAAAGCAGCATTTAGAATAGAGATTTCTGGGCTAGAAGCAGACCCCCCTAGACCATGTACAACCCCATTCATGATTTATATTAAATTATGGGTTTTAGTTGGGTTTGATTTTAAATTTTCAATCATTTCTGCATTTACAAACTGTTGGAAACAAAAATGAAACTAATGGGTTTTTAAAGAACAGCATCTTACGTTCTTTTTTTCCCGCTAAGATTAAATTAAACTTGCAAAAAAAATTTGCAAAATTTTATGTTTTAAAATGTTGTCAAGGATTTAAATTCAGGTAATGAGAAAATCAGAAATGTTCTCTTTGGACATATTTATCTATGAAGACATCCCCCCCCCCTGTATGCAAAGAACCGGGTAACTCTTCAAAATACAACTCTTGGAGAAGATAAATTATTTTGTGAGAAAAAGTATAATTTTTGATCTCTCAAAGTGTAAAAAGAAAAATTCTTGAGTTGAGGAGGAGAGGGGGAATTTTCTCCAAGAGTAAACCAATGATTTTTTTCTAGGTTTAAAAGATGTTGAAAACAGTAAACCTGTATTTGATCCCGATTTTCACACCGAGCTTATCATTAAAAACGAATATGAGGATTGTAATTTAGGTGATATGTTCATTTATATTAAAATCGAAAAAAATACCTTTAAATTATAAATAATAGATGATTTTTAAAAATATTATTAATTTTATTCAATTTTAATGGAAGTGGTGCAGTGAGATAGGGTCTACTCTAACCTTTCTCCAGATTGATTGAGAAATTATTTTATTTATTTATTTAATTGAAATCCATCTTCTATAATAAGATTTGTGTTTAAATAAATGAGAACTTTATAGATTTTAAAATTACAAAAATATAGATTATTGGTTACTTTACAGTTTTTAATATTAGTTTTGCAGAAAGAAACATTTTTAATATTATTAAATAATATTTTCGCTGTTTAGGTGAAAACATGGATGACAGATTTGAAAATTTTAAATCAAAACCAAAGTGAAACAAGAAACGTGAAGTGGAATACACTTGTAATGAGTGTGAGTATGTTGCAACTGAAGCAGGCAATCTAAAATACCACATCAAAAGTAAACATGAAGGAGTGAGATATCCATGTTCTCAATGTAAATATTCTGCAACTAAGCCAAATGCTCTGAAGAAACATGTTGAAAGTAAACATGAAGGAGTGAGATATCCATGCTCTCAATGTGAGCATGCTGCAACTTCAGCCAGTAACCTGAAGAAACATGTTAAAGGTAAACATGAAGGAGTGAGATATCCGTGTTCTAAATGTGAGTACGCTTCAACTAGGGCATATAATTTGAAGAAACATGTTGAAACTGAACATGAAGGATTGAGATATCCATGTTCTCAATGTAAATATGCTGCAACTACATCAATGGTCTTGAAGAAACATGTTGAAAATAAACATGAAGGAGTGAGATATCCTTGCACTCAATGTGAGTATGCTGCAACTCAAGCAGGTGCCCTGAAGAAACATGTTGAAAGTAAACATGAAGGTGTGAGATATCCTTGTTTGCATTGTGAATTTGCAGCAACTACAGCAAATTATCTGAAGAAACATGTTGAATATAAGCATGAAGGAGTTAGATATCCTTGTTTGCATTGTGAATTTGCTGCAACTACAGCAAGTAACCTGAAGATGCATGTTGAAAGAAATCATGAAGGAGTGAGATATCCATGCTCTCAATGTGATTATGCTGCAACTATATCGAGTGACTTGAAGAAACATGTTGAAAGTAAACATGAAGGAGTGAGATATCCTTGTCTTGAATGTAAGTTTACTGCATCTTAAGGAATCATAAGGAATTGAAATCTGCAAGAGACCCCATTGTGGGCCCCCCAGACCGCCCAGAAAGCAGGGTGCAAGTTACCTAAAGAAACATGTAAAAAATAAACATAAATGAGTGAGATATCCTTGTGTATGTTTTACATATCTGAGGAGACTGATCATAAATACAATACTCATTTATCCCGCTTTAAAAAATTAAGTAGTTAACAAAGTATTTTTATTGTATATTTTTTTATTAAAAGTTTTGTTGAATTTTTTTTCTTTCTCACTTTTTTGATTTGAACAGCTAGATATTTAGCCAAATATAGCAAGAAAAAATATTTCCAATATAACTTGAACCTGTGACAAGAGCTTGTTTTTCTTATTTTGAAAGTTTTGTTCAAAATTTAACCAGCGGAATTAATAAAAGCAGAACATGCTGACATGTTTGTATTTCATTTTGTATTCTCAATCTATTTATCTTGGAGAAGATAAATTATTTTGTGAGAAAAAGTTGAATTTTTAATCTCTCAAAGTGTCAAAAGAAAAATTCTTGAGTTGAGGAGGAGAGGGGGAATTTACTCCAAGAGTAAACCAATCTTTTTTTCTAGGTGTAAAAGATGTTGAAAACAGTAAACCTGTATTTGATCCCGATTTTCACACTGAGCTAATCATTAAAGACGAATATGAGGATTGTAATTCAGGTAATTTGGAAATTTACATTAAAATCGAAAAAAATAACCTTAAATTATTAGTAATAAAGATATTTTTTAAAGATATAATTAATTTGATTCAATTCCAATGGAAGTGGAGCAATGAGATAGGGTCTACTCTAACCTTTCTCCAGATTGATAGAGAAACTATTTTATTTATTTATTTAATCAGAAGTTTCTTGAAATCCATCTTCTTTATTAAAATTATTGATTAAATAAATGAAAACTTTTTAGATTTTAAAATTACAAAAATATAAATTATTGGTTACTTTACAGTTTTTAATATTGGTTTTGCAGAAAGAATTATTTTTAATATTATTAAATAATAATTTCGCTGTTTAGGTGAAAACATGGATGAAAGATTTGATGATTTTAAATCAGAAGCAAAGAGAAACAAGAAGCGTAAAGTGGAATACACTTGTAATCAGTGTGAGTATGTTGCAACTCAAGCAGGCAATCTAAAATACCACATCGAAAGTAAACATGAAGGATTGAGATATCCATGTTCTCAATGTATATATGCTGCAACTACGCCAAATGCTCTGAAGAAACATGTTGAATGTAAACATGAAGGAGTGAGATATCCTTGTTCTCAATGTGAACATGCTGCAACTACAGCATCTTCTCTGAAGATCCATGTAGAAAATAGACATGATGGAGTGAGATATCCATGCTCTCAATGTAAATATTTCACCACTACAGCTTGTAGCTTGAAGAGTCATGTTAAAAGAAATCATGAAGGAGTGAGATATCCATGCTCTAAATGTAAATATTTGGCCACTACAGCAAGAAATCTGAAGAGTCATGTTAAAAGAAAGCATGAAGGAGTGAGATATTCATGTTTTCAATGTGAGCATGCTGTATCTACGCCAAATGCTCTGAAGAAACATGTTGAAACCAAACACGAAATAGTGAGATATCCTTGTTCTCAATGTCAGCATGCTGCAGCTACGGCAAGACATCTGAATAGACATGTGGAAAGTAAACACGCAGGAAAGAGGTATCCATGTTCTCAATGTGATTATGTAGCAACAAGATCAGACAAATTGAAGGCACATGTTAAAAGTAAACATGAAGGAGTTAGATATCCTTGTTTGCATTGTGAATTTGCTGCAACTACATCAAGTAACTTGAAGACTCATGTTAAAAGTAAACACGAAAGAGTGAGATATCTTTGCGACAAATGTGAGTTTGTTGCAACTAGAGCAAGCCATCTGAAGGTTCATGTTGAAAGTAAACATGAAGGAGTGAGATATGCTTGTGATGTATGTGAGTACGTTGCAACAAGAGCTGATCACCTGAAGAGACATATTGAATGTAAACATAAAGTAGTTAGATATCCTTGCTTGCAATGTGAATTTTCGGCAAATACTGCAAGTAACTTGAGGTATCATATTAATAGTAAACACAAAGGAGTGAGATATCCTTGTCCTCAATGTGAACATGCCACAACAACAGCAAGTGCTCTGAAGAAACATGTTGAATATAAACATGAAGGAGTAAGATATCCGTGTCCTAATTGTGAGTACGCTGCAACAACAGCAAGAAACCTGAAAATACATGTTGAAAGGAAGCACGTGTAAACTTCAGGACTTTTGAATTATTTTTTGCTCATTTGAAATATATTTTTGCTTTTTTGAACTATTATTTGGCCCATTTGAACTATTTTTGCCTTATTTGAACTATTTTTTTTTGACTCATTTTAACTATTTGTTGGCTCATTTGAACTATTTTTTGTCACATTTGGACTTTAATTGGGTCCGTCTCAGTATACAAAATTGACAGGATGGGGGGGGGGGGGTCCAAATCATCTTGAACACCGGGAATTCCATACCCATATGGATCAGGATCAAGATCAGATCTAAAATCTGCATTATGAATACAAGCATTTCCCATTGTTGCTGATAAACTAGAAGCTCAATATTTCCTTTACTGTAGGACTTCATTAGACTATCTTTAAATTAAACTAAAACAATATATAAATTATATATATTTTATATATATTTTATTTTAGAATAGTAGCGAATATATATCTCTATAAATTATAAACTTATACACACACAGAAACAGGCAATAATCTTGTAGCGAATATAGCCTATGTAGCGTTTTTTTAGTGTAGTGTTTTTTTAGTGTAGCGCTTTTTTAGTGTAGCGTTTTTATAGTGTAGCGTATTTATAGTATGACCCAAAGATCGCACTCTAGGAAATTACCGAACCATATTTTTGCTCATTTGAACTATGTTTTTTTGCTCGTTTTAGCTATTATTTAGCTTATAGAAACTTTTTCTGGGCTTATTTGAACTATTTTTTTTGCTCATTCGAACTATTTTTTTGCATGTTTAAACTATTTATTGGCTCATTTGAACTATTTTTTGCTCATTTGAACTTTTTTTGTTGCTTATTTTAACTATTTTTTTTCAAATTGGAAGTATTTTTGGACTCATTTGAACTATTATGTTTGCGCATTTAAACCATATATTTTTCGGCTCAATTGAACTTTTGTATTTAATAGTTCAAATGAGCAAAATAAATAGTTTAAATGCGCACAGAATGTTATTGTTGAGCTATTGGTCGATTGAACTACTATACACGTGGCACCACGTTCAATAGTACAAACGACCAATAGTTCAAACGGCAGTAGTTCAACTAAACAGAACCCATATTGTTATATTTTTTTTTTTTTTTTTACTTAATTTATTTGAACAATATCGTTTGTTTGTACCAAAAAAATTATTCAGTACATTTTTCATCGAAAATAAACATGAAGGAATAAGATATCCTTGTTCTGAATGTGAGTATGTAGCAATTAGAGCTGCCAATTTAAAAAGTCATCATAAATAAACAGAAGGTATGTGACATCCTTGTTCTCACTGTGAATACACTGCAAATACTTCAGGTGCTTTGAAGATTCATGTTGAAAGTAAACATCAAGAAGTGAGATATCCTTGTTCTAAATGTAAGTATGTTGTAACTAAACAAAGTAACCTGAAATCTCATATTGAAAGTAAACATGAAGGAGTGAGATATCAATTTTTTCAATGTGAGTACATTGTAAATACTGCAATGGTTCTGAAGATTAATGTGAAGAGTAAACATGAAGGAGTGAGATATCCTTGTTCTAAATGTGAGTTTGTTTCAACTCACCAAAATAACCTGAAATATCATAATGAAAGTAAACAAGGAGGAGTGAGATATCCTTGTTCTCACTGTGAGTATGTTGCAACTACAACAGGTAACCTGAAGGTTCATGTTGAAAACAAACATGAAAGAGTTAGATATCATGGTTTAAACTGTGAGTATATTGCAACTTAAGCAAGAAATCTGAAGATTCATATTAAAAATAAGCATGAAGGAGCGAGATATCCTTGCTCACAATGTGAGTAAACTACAACTGAAGCAAGTAGTTTGAAGGTTCATGTTAAAAACGAACATGATGGAGTGAGGTTTCTCTGTTCTCATTGTGAGTTTACCGCAATTACAGCAGATGCTCTGAAGGTTCATATTAAAATTAAACATGAAGAAGTGAGATATCTTTATTCTTAATGTAAATATTCTGAACTTAGAAAGGAAATATTAAAAAAAAAAACATTTTAAAATGAAACATAAATGAGATATTCCTGTTTCTATTGTGAAAAGGCTGTATCTGTAGCTAGATATCTGAAGCAATCTACGAAAAATTATCATGATCAATGGCTATCAAACTTTATTTTTATTGTGGGATTTTTTAAACTCATTGTATCTTTTCATAAAATCACAATTTCAAGTGATCTATCTTAGGCATATTCTTATTTGGTAATTTCTTAATAGCCAGCATAATACTGATAGTTTTTACAACATATTCTTCTACTTGGCCTGTTGGCTATATATTTTTTTCACTCATTCCCCAAAATCTTTTACATAATGAACAGCTATTTATTAGTTAATTTTAAAAATTATTTAATAAAGGCGAACTGTTGTGTTTCAGTAGGGGGGCAAGAACATTTTTAAAATCCAAATTTTATAGGACTTCATGTCTTAACCAAAAACATGACATATAGAATTTCCAATCTTTCTCAAAAATCTAAAATTTTTACAAATTACATTTTTTTTGTCTGTTAAATGTTTTTCTTTTAATGTTAGTTTGTATCTAAAACCAACAATTAGAATAGAATTGAGACTATTCTAAGTGATTTGGAGTTTTATGTTGAAAATTAAAACAAAGAAAAATTCCGTTTTTCGACTTTAAATCGTTAAACAAACTTATGCATTTTAATAAACCCTTGAAAATTGCTAGATGCGCCACTGGTTTTAGTGAAGAGTGATGGAAGGATCACACTCTTAAAATGAATTCACTGAGAAATATTTAATGTTATTATCAATATTATATTTAAATTGTGTATTAAGCATTTTTCTTCAAATTTTGTATTGTTAAAAAACACAATAATAATAGAAATTTGAAAGCTTTAACAATTTTCGGCAGAATTCCTATTTCAAACTATTGTACATTGATTTTTTTTCTAAAATGGAGATAAGAATGCATTGCGTACACTGGGCTTTAGCCAAGTGTGGGCAAATAATTTTTGAAAAAGAAGCAAATTGGGTAAAGCTCAATTTTTACCTACAGCACCTGATTTTAATCTTAACCCAAGAATGCTCCAGGGGGTAAGGAGTTCTGTGGCTTAGTGAGTAGCGTCAATAGTTACAGTACTGAGGGCAGGGGTTCCAACCCTTGTCCCAAGATTGCAACTAAAATTTTACTAAAATTGCAATCTAGCAATGAACATCTTACTTGCTCCCGGCATTCCTACCGTTGGTATTGAATCACAGTCGTTGTCGGAGGTCATTACGTTGAATGACATAACTTGCAAACCTGCAAACACTCTGATCGGCCAGGGTGATGTAATAATTAATAATGCGGGTCCATGAGACAATTGTAATAAACTTCTCTGGTGCGAGAACCTCACCCCTTTAAGTTGTTGGCCAAAATTAGTAAAACTATTATTTTTTGTATTTTTTATACACTATAAAGATTCACAACTTTTAGCATTATTTTATTGAAAATGAATAGGTTTTTATTTTAAAGGATTAATCTTCTGTAATATGAAAATAGTTATGATAATAATAGAAAAGTTTTTTTAATAGATTACAGCAACATAAATGAAGAAACAAGCAATTTTACTACTTCTTTTTCATTTCTCATTGGTAATTTAAGGTAAGAAATAAGGTATTGTTCACTTCTTCCAAAACCAATAATTTACTTTTTTTTGCAAGCGCAAATTTTTGCAAAGTTTTACTAGCCTGTGACTATCGAAAAATAATAATTTTGGTATGAATCAAAAATCTGTAGGCTTTGTTTTCATTTTTTTCTTTAGTAATAAAAGAGAATGAATACAAAGATTTTAAGTTAACCCAGGTATACTAAAGATAAGGACATTTCTCACTCTTTTGAACCAGGATTCAGAAATTGGCTTCTGAAATAAATAAAAAATTTATTTCAGAAACCATTAAATTTTTGATTTTGCTAAATTTATAAGGATATAAGGACTTTACAGCCTAATCTTGCAGTACACAGTACACACATCAAATATTCAATACGAATTCAGAGTACAAGTGTTTTGTATCTTAAATTTTACTTAGTTTACTCAGAATCACTTGTAAAAAATGAAGTTATGTTAAAGATTGTTTTAGAACCTCTTTTAGTGAAAATGTTTATTGCATTTTGTAAAAGAGCAGTGGTTAAACCGAAGCCCTAGTCTCAAACAACTAAACTTGTTCTGCTTAAAAGATTCCAAATGATTTTAAACCCTTGTAAACGGACTCTAGTAAGTGACCTTAAAAATGACCAACTCTGCACAACGATACACTTTAAACTAGTAATGATCAATAATGTGAAAGACATAGTCGTTTGTGTAGATCAAAAATTGTTTAATTCCGGCCATTTCCTCCATTGTTTCAAATGCATAAACTCCGCCAAGTCACTTTACACATAACCTCATTGTTGTAACTAGTTTAGATAAGGTTGACTTTCTTACGACTTTTTGTTTCAAGTTTGCATTATGTCCAGCTCAAAACGTGGAGGAGAAAGTCCATCTTTTCACGACTTTTTGTTCAAAGTTGGTGACTTAAATGTAGAAATGAATCATTGTTAAATTTTATTTTTATGAACTCCCAAGTTTCCCACTGCCCTGACTACTACTTAATTTTTAAAATATGGAATCAGTTCTTGATTCAATTCAACTTTTTCCGAGTTCTTAATCTTCCTTCCTTCCACACAAACCAGACAATCATTAATAATATTTAAATTAAAATAGTACTACCTTAACTACCTTCAATTTATTTAATATAAAGCTATTGTAAAACAGAAGCATATTACACATACAGTAGTATTTCTGAGCAAGCGCGTACACAGGATTTTAGCCAGGGGGGGCTAGATTTCGCGCGAAGCGCAAAATGAAAATTCCCCCCCCCCATGGAATTGTTTTGTTCTAAAAGTCAATTAACACCATAAAAATACAACAAAAAGACTACATTTTTGGGTGCTACTAACCTTATAGAGTCTAAAATTTATTCCTTTGCTCGAAAAACTAACTTTAACTTTTTAACTTTATAAATTTATAAATTTATCACTTAACTCCATCACAGCTAACTAAATCAATAATCACAGCATCATTAAAAAATCATATTTTCAATAATAAACGAAATTTCTTCTGAAACTTTTAGATAGAATTTACTCCATCTACATATTCACCAACTCTTTTAAGCTTTAATTTTCTGGGATTTGCTTGCACAAACATTTCAATGATTTTCTCAGTAGTGAGCCATATGTGCAAAATCGTTAAGTCTGTTCTCCGTCATAGTACATCTTGTGTATAATGAAGTATTCTCTTTGAAGGCTTAAACTTCTCTTTCCTTCATTCGATGTTATTGTCATCATTGCATAAAGGGGAACTTGAAATTACGCTTAATATCTCTTAATGGAAATAAAGTAATTGAGTCTTTGCCACAAACTTTGATTTTCTAATCACTATATCTTTGGAACCAAATGTTGTAGACCTTAGATATTTTAAACTATGAATTTTGTTAGATCAAATATTCTGAATTTGAAATATCAAAGGTTTACAACATCAGGTTCCAAAGGTTTAAATATTTGAGTTTGTGCCAAAGACACAATTCCTTTATTAATTGACTGTAAGAAAAAATAGAAAAATAGGAAATAGAATACCTTTATTACATCTTCCATCATGTTATTTAAGCATTTAATATGTCGAGGTCTCGTTTTTGCAAAAGGTTTAGTTTAAAGTATCTTCAAATTTTGTGTTAACAGTGAATTTATACAAATCCTTAGTCTTTGTCATTGTCAGGTGTTACTTTTTAAATTTGTTTCCTTTTAATTTTGTATTTTCCAGGGGGGGGACAGGGCCCCCCTGGAACTTCCGGGGGGGGGCAAGAGGACTACTGCCCCCCTCCTATGTACGCCACTGTTTCTGAGTTTGATCTATATACTTTGACAAGGAAGAAGTAAAGAGAACAAATTTTAAAATGAATTCGATTTGATTTGTTAAAATTTTTGATTCAAGAAACAACTTTTTTGTTTTAAAATTTAGATTAAAACAATAACTCTACATTACAAGATTTACCTAAACATAAATAATTTGTCAAACAAGGTTCCGTTTAAATCAAAGATTTTAGCAAATATAATTGAATTCACTTAATAATTTCTTTTCTGTAAACTCCATTTTCGTGAATAAACTTTTAAAGTTTCAGCATTTTTACGGGATAGAGGAGGCTCAGTTCTGCATAGAAAATCTGGGAGGCTCGAGTACTATCAGATACTATCAATCATGTCTAATATCTAGTTGAGAGCAGATACATGTAGAAAAATATCTAGTTCAAACTGGATATATGTTGAATGTCATGATTCTTGGCTGATTTGTCATTAGTTTAAATATCTAATAAACCCAATCCTTTAAAGAACTTTTGGAGGTGTAATTGTAAATCAATATTTAGTATAACTAGGCTAATAGGGCGCTTTGCGTCTATCTTTTATTTTTGATTAATATAGTGTCCGAATTTAATAAATTTGAGCCGCGTCTTAAATCCGCCAAACCCCGGTTTCAATTGAGCGCCGGCTTAAATCTTGAAACAATGAATACAATTTTAAGTGAAACCAACCATATTTGAGCTGCGGCTTAAATTTAGGCCGCCGCTCAAATTCTTTAAATTCGGTCTCAGGAGAAATAAGAACCAAAACTTACACTTGGCCCATTTCTAACACTGAGTCTAAGAAATGGGCCCAAATCTGCAAAGTTATCTTTTTCAAGGGTATATATCTTTAAATCCAATCCTGGGTGAACAAAAATACACCATACATTTATTAGAAATGGCAAAACTTATTATTGAAGCAGGAAATGTCTACTTTAAACTAATAATAAGGTATGAGAATAAGGTTTTGATGATATTGGTTTTCATATTCCAACATATCCCTATTTTCAAACAATTACTGCATTTCAGCTCATGTCACATTTTTGAAACAAATCCTGGTTTTAAGACAATTACTCGAATTCATATCAATCAAGCATTTACAAACTTGCGTAACAAAACAAGATTTTTTAAAAGGTAAAATATAAACAAAAAAGAAAACAAAAAATACTGTTCTTTTATATTTTAAAAATCATTATGGCATCAAGAAATCAAAACTTTAATACTATTTTGTTCTTTCAATATAATTTTAACTGGAAATCCAGGGAAATTGTTTATTTAGAATTCAGATATTAAATTAACTTTATTCTCTTATTTAACAAATAAAGTAGGTAAATAAAGATTTTAGAAATAATTAAACAGTTAATTTAGTCTTCATAATATAATTTTTACTCTCATTGATTTATTTTGAAAGTTATGAAAGTGAGTTTTGTTCTGAATTGAGGATTATAGTCAAAAACAGCGGGAAAGTGGGTTTTGTCTAGGGTTTCCACGAAACAGTCAATTCTCTTGCTCAATAGTTGCGTGGTTTTACACGAAACGACTTTATTTGAAGGAAATTTGGGATCATTTTTGTATCAATAAGAAACTAGTTTTGCAGGAAATTGCGCATTCATTAAAAATAAATAATTTTTTTGCAAGAAATTTCTTTATGATATCGCATGAATACAGGTCATTTTAGCATGTTAGTTATTGTGCAATGCCCATGAAAACGAAAAATTTTGTACTGCAGTATTTGTGCACATGAAAACGAAATTATTTGTAATATTTGTTGCATACCATATAGTGCATAGTTATGAAATATTTTAATATTTGGACAGTATTGTGTGAATTAGTTTCGAAATAAACAACTTCCAGTCCATCTAACCCTGCTTGTCTTCAACTTTAGACCATATAAATGTGGCAAAAGATAATCGATGACTATATGTTGTAATATCTGAATGATTTGTTTGAAATTAAATTGATTTTTTTACGGTCTAAGTCGTATGTTGCAATTTTCTCAATTTGTATGGACGCCATGTTATTCGGTATGAGACGTCTTTAACAATTTTCTCCTTTTAGACGCAACAAATAGAAGTAAGATTAGTAGCAATCAAAAGCGCTTTTTTATCGCATTAACCCTATCCCCGCTGGGGTACTTGAAAACCAGTATACGCTGGGGGGGGGTCAATTTGACCCCCCCCTCTAAATCCCATGTTTTATGTCCAAATATGACAAATGATACATCATTAGAAAGCTCTTGTGCTCTACTTTTAGAATCTGCAAAAAAATTTGCAAATTTGCGAAAATTGATTTTTTTATCGCAAAATCCAGTTTTATAGTAAAAATGTTTGCAAAAAAAAATTTGTCCAAAAAATGACAAATTATACATTTTTGAAAAGCCCTTGACCATGCCATTTCAAATATGCAAAAATTTTTGCAAAATTTTAAATAACCTGATTTTTAATCAAGAAAAACTAAAAATGTGCAAATTTCCTTTGACAGGTTGTTTGCAAAAAATGTGCAATTTTTTTTCGCAAAACTTGTGCAATCCGTTTCCTTATGTCATAGGCTTTCCAAAAAGCTAAATTTTATCAAAATCTGACAAGTGAAAGTGGGTCAAAACAAAGATTTAGTTTGCTACAGGCAAAAGCAGTCATTCAGGCAGTGTGCCTGAGGACTCAGGCAGTTAGTATTAAAGCCCGGTTTTAGGCCTAAAGGGAGGGCTTTGGGTATGTAAGAAAAGTCAGAAAATTTCAACAGCCTCAGACCAATACTTTTTGAGTTATGTAAAAAAAACTACAGGGGGGGGGCAAATTGACCCCCCCCCCAGCGGGAATAGGGTTAAGCCTATACCCCCTTTCACTTTTTGCGAACACTCCCTTTAAATAAAACATTTTTTGCTGCATGTTGATGATTATCTAAAAAATTCATATTGCCTGAGTCTTAGTTTTCATGAGATTTCAAGAGACTGAAGGCTTAATTAATTAATTAAGCCTGCAGACTTAATTTCAAATGACCTTTCAAGTGGTATCTCCTGTTCACAACTGTGCCTTTTATAACATTGTGCTTCTGATAATTGATTATTTCAAGTTTTGGGTTCTTATTTTTTACATCAATTATTTCAATTTACTTGTTTTGATTTTACATATTTTAAAACCAGAACTCACTTCAAAAATGACAAAGCTGGATGCACGCCAGTATCCAATGAAGTATGATTAAGTATGAAGTAGTGTCAATGTTTATAATGTGGTTTCGATCTACAAAAGTGACTTGCACATCACTATTGATTGAAAACATAAAGGAATTTTCAAAATTAAAAACCAAGAAAACAAAAATAATTCCACATTGGATATCATTGCTAATTTAGCATGGAGGGTCACTTGAAAAAATATTCAACTTAAATTGCAGGAAATTGTTAATTTAAACAACTGGAAATAAATAATCTTTATTCCTTTATTTTACAAATAAATATGATAAACAGATTCTTAAAATTTTAATTTACATTTAATAATTAATGTATTCATCATAAGAAAATCCTTGTCAAGCTTAAGGAGATGTTGGTTTTTTTTTTTGGTTTTCCCTGTTTGAAGCAATAGCTAGGGTAAAAAACCTTATTTTTTTATAACTTTAAAGTGAAATAGACTTTTTTATATTTAAAGGATGTTTAAGCCTCCTCATTCACTTCAAAGTGAAAGGGATTTGTCTATCATAAACATTTAAACATTTTAAGGCAAATCATATTGTGTTAAGGATTATTGTTAATATGAAAAAGTTACTCTAGATTGGTTTTGGTCTACAGAATCTCATTTCGTATTGTGTAATGGAATTGAGTTTCTGCCACAAACTCTGATTTTCTAATCCCTATATCTTTGCAATTTGATATTGTAGACCTCTGATGTTTCAAACGACAAATTCTGTCAGATTAAATAGCCTGAGTTTGAAATATAAAAGTTTTATTCTGTCAAGTTGCAAAGATAGAGGGATTATTTTGAGCTTGTTGCAAAAAGTCAATTCCTTTGTGTAACATTTGGTTAAGGAAGAAAAAAGAAACATTTACAGGTTTACCCACAAAGGATGAGACTGTAAAGACAACTTGAAACTTGAAGATATTACAATCCCTAAGTTAAGTTAAGTCTTCTGGCTGAAATAAAGTCTTGAAAGGTCTGATTAAATTAATACACAATACACAATTTCACGGTTGCGGGTAATCATGAACTTAAGAAACAAACAGTATAAATTTTGTACAGTCGTCTTGAACATGTAATTCTTTAAAGGTAATCCTGTATGAAGTATTTCAAATCGAAGATTGGATTACAAATGGTTATTTAATTGAAAGGATGTGTAGTCAAAAAGCTAATATCAATCTTTCAATAAGGGTAAAAATCAATAACTCAGGCATTTACATTATATCACAGAAAAACATGTATTCATTGTAAAGGATGATTTCAAATTGAAATTTCACTGAATAAAATCTATTTTCAAATTTATGTTTAACTTAAATTTTTGTTTTCAATAAATGGCTTAGTGAACAATATTCAAGACTGATTTGTTGATTGTTAGTCCAAAGTCGTATAAAAATTCCTGGAACATTCTCGAGCATTGAAGTAGGCTTAAAAGTTAAAGAATTAAAACATAATGTGCTTAGCTTCCAAAATGTGAACAATTCTTTAAGAAAAAATAAAGTTTGTCTACCAGCAGTGGACAAAGGCTGCCATAGAACCTGCACATACCGTTGTTGAAGGTCTTAATGTTCTAGGACAGTTATCAAGATCTAACTCAGTTCCTCCACACAACATATCAGCAAAGATATATATGCCTGAATACGGATATCCATGGCTGTAGGTGTAAGCACCACCCCATCCGAGCTGCCTGCAGATAGCATCCGCCTCACCCCAATCAAATCCATTTTGACAGATTGCTCCCCAACCAGAGTTCCTGTGGTTATACTCGACAATACCTGAACATATCAAAGAAAGCTCAAAACACCTGAATGATATAACAGATTATTGAAAGGTTCTGACTGAAGGTGTAAAGTCAAAAATGTGTTTCCTAAGTTCAGGGGGATGTTAGTTCCAAAACTACACTTGGCCCATTTCTAACACAGAGTTTTAGAAATGGGCACAAATTGAAAGAATGGGTTTTTGGGATCCCGGCCCATATCCAGAGTAAAAGTCAATAGTAAAAACTATAACCAACATTTTATGAAACATGACGAGGGCAACAATTCCCAATTTTAAATTTAAAAAAATCAAAAATGTAATAGGAGTTCTTTTTAAATTTAAAGCTCTTGAGCATTTTCAAGACAATGTTAGGTTTTCCATTTTTTTCGAACATATCCTGAATTTGAAACAATCTCGCGTTTGAGACAAAACCCGTTTGAGTAAAATGCACAATTCAAAACAAAACTCACTATCATAACATCACTGAAAACAAATCTTATCTTATGAAGACTAAATTTACTTCTAAATTATTTCTAGAATCTAAGTTTCCACATTTTATCTGTTAAATATGGATGATCTATTTTCAAGCATTTTAAACAAACAGATTCCTGCATTTCTAGTTAAATCTATATTGAACAAATGATATTAATATTTTGATTTCTAAATGCTGTGATGAATTTTAAATTAAAAGAACAGTTTGTTTTTATTTCCTATTTTGTAAATATTTTACCTTATCAAAAAATCTTGTTTTGTTTCATAAGTGCGTAAATACTTGAAAATTGACATTGATTTGAATTCCGGAAATTGTCTCAAAACCAGGATATGTTCCGAAAATGCAACTTGAACTGAAATCCAGTAATTGTTTCAAAACAGGGATATGTTCGAAAATAAAATCAAGAATCATCAAAAACTAATTCTCACACATTATTATTAGTTTAAATTGACATTTATTGTTTCAATATATAATTTTAGACATTATTTATAAATATATGGTTGTTGACACAAATAAAAGAACAAAAGGGATATTCCTTAACTTTATTGAATAATAAAATCAAATTTGTTTTAAAATAGTGACCCTTAAAAAAGGGGTTATCTAAACGGTTGAAAATGAAATAACATTGATTATTAGTGTTGAAAGGAATGGAACAGTTGGAGCTTCATGTTGGTGGAGCAGATCAACAGGAACTGGCAAGAGAGGATTGATAACACCTGGCTTATCCAACCTAGTAGGCAGAGATCGCGGTTTTATCATGATGAAATTGAGCGATTATGTTGTCTCTGGATTACATGATAAACTGGGAACCCTTCGGATAGCACGACTGCTGCTAGCTGAGTATCTGCGCCATCATCATAAAGGAGTTAGTAGTTCCTGATCGGAGGTGTTCACATCTCGACGTTCTAAAGCTAACCGACACTGTTCTCCACGAGTAGAGGCGGTAAAGGGGGGGGGGACATGAGGAGACACATTTGGAGTGGATATAGTATTATGTATTGTGAATCTTGCGCCGTCAACTTCGCTACACAGTAGTAATCGTCTTCGTGTTTTCTTGAATTTGTTACAATGGTGTAATTTTGTTCTACTTGACTTGGATTTAAAGATATATACTCTTGATAAAGATAACTCTGCAGATTTGGCCCATTGCTAACACTGAGTGTTAGAAATGGGCGAAGTGTTAGATTTGGAACTAATGGCCCCTGAGTTTGTGACTCTCTCACTCGATGCAAAAGAGTCAAATAGACTGTAAGAATAATTTCATGCGACCCTCCATTCAAAGAGGACAATGTCTAATACGATACCCATAAAGTCTTTTTGTGTTTTTTGAGAACAGAGATATGTGTTCATAAACTTTTAAAACCCCATCAGTATTCAGCTGCAAATCCCAGATTGGACTGTGTTGCGTTCAGACTGTACATTGTTTGATTAGATTACACATAGATAACTCTGTACTGTAAATAAGTAATGTTTAAGAAAATTGTTGTTTTTAAGGCAAGGCCAGTATTTTTAGAATGTGAAAAAATAACATGCATTTTTGTGGTCAAACCTTCACTATCAAAAGCTAAACAGTAGTTAAACATTTCCTGGACCTTTAACTTTTAATATCTTTAAACCTCTTTTTCAAACAATTTGTTAATCATGCAGTACAATACAATGGATTGTGTAATAATAAGTAAGTAAGTAATCATTTATTTATGAAAAATGACAAAAACATACAAACTCAAGTGTTTCCCCCCATTCTTAAATAAATATAAAAAACAGAAAAAAAGGAAAATGAAAGGAAAGGAAATATGCATGTTTATTGTTTACATTTTATTTAATATAAACTAGTTGTGGATTGTTGATATTTTACGACAATGAACAAACAACTTTTAGAAATTTAAATGAAAGATTTATTTGTAATGTTTAAAAAAAATAAAATAGGCTTTCTGGATTGTGAGAAATGTATAGTTTTTACGCAAAATGGGCATTTTTAACATTTTTAACATTTTATTATCTTACATACCAGTATAACTCATAAAACCACCTCCTAGCCTAACAGCTCCTTTTGCTGAGCCATCTGAAATTTTGTTTAAATAAATGTTTTTTTTACCTCTTTACCGAAATCTTTAGAAAGATAAATGTTATTTCATAAGGATCTTTAAAAATAATTCAGTAAGAATTTTGACCTTGCATATTTTGTAAAAAAATTTTGGGAACATATTTTGCTTTAAATAAAGATAAAAAATTACCTGTTGGACTGAAAGTTCAAAGTTTGTTTAATGATAATTATTTTTATTGTTAATTTGACTTGCACTTGGTTTGTAGAAACAGAAAAATATATTACATGGACTTTAGACATAATTTTAAGTCACCTTACATTTATTGAGTGACATATTTTAATCTTTACCCTCTAAACCTTTGTTTGATTATGAAGACAAAGAAATATTTTTCTTAAATCTCTTGATGTATTGCTGAATTCTAAAGTTTACTTTTAGTGGACACTGTGAACTCAAATGACATCAAATAGTACTTTAATTAATAATTAATTAATAACAATTACTTTAAGCAATGATTTCACCTGCTCCTTTACAACCATAACTGTATGAAGTAGAAGCTAGAGAGTTTTCTGCAGCTTGACAAGAGCATCTATATCCTCCAAGTGTGTTTACACAGAGATTAATAATCCCGGCACAATTGTGACCTTTAAAACATAAGATTGATTGATTGACCCAGCAAATATGTTATTTAGTGTTTTTGACTTCTGAGTTATCAAATGTAAATAAAAAACAAAGGTTTTTCTAACTTTACCTGTAACACATTCATTTATATCCACACAATTTGGTGGGGTTCCTGTAAACCCAGCAATGCAGGTACAGGAGTAAGTTCCAGGTTGGTTAGTGCATGAACCATAAGTTCTAAGAATTGAAACTCAAGTTAAAACACTTACTTGACTTCAAGCATATCTAATGCTTCTAAAGATGTAGAATTTATGGAGATAGTGTTGGACTCAATTTGTTTACTTCAATTTTAAATATGTTGAACTAAAAAATCTATCTAGAGTTTTTATTACTTATTGCAGAAAATTTCAAATATTGGACATTGATTAAAAATAGAAGTTTTTTTGAAGAGTTATGTTTATTGTGGTTTTGTTGTGTTTCTGGGGGAAACATTTAACTGGACATATTTTACCCACAGATAGACGTTGCACATTCATTAGTATCATAACAACCATAACCAGGAGTAAAACGTTCATAGCCTGTGCTACAAGAGCAATAATAGCTTCCAACAGTGTTAAAGCATTCCACAGTGGATACTCCACAGGAGACACCTTTGTAAACATAAATATAGTTTCATAATTAAAAGAGTTTGTATCTTGAGGAAAAAAATTATTAGAAACAAAATGATTTTGGACTAATCTGTCTATAATGTTTCCATTTGTTTCCGGATCAATTAGGTTTGTTTAAGGCCTTTTTGGAAACCTTATCAAGAATGATAAGATATTAAACGCTATCGAAATGAAGGATGGAACCTTTCTTTTTTCATTTTGAATAAATCTACCCCCTAGATGATACACATAACTAATTTTGACTTCCTGAAATAAGTTTAAAGGACAATCATTTATAAAGGATGGATCTGGAAGGAATTATCATGCCATGGTTACCTAGTTACTACACATCTAGCTCTGTGTAGTAGCTAGGTTATAGATTTATTCTTGATTAAGATATGGAGGTTAATTTTTAATGGGTTATTATTCTCAACATTTTCAGAAAAGGTTTCATGAGGCTTATTCTGATTTAAAATGATTCAGAAAAAAAATTTAAACTCTTTTGGTCTTTTCACTAATAAGGAGTGATGATTCCTTGAAGGACAAACAATGGTTAAGAAAGTTTATAACCTTCTGCACATTCATTCACATCACTGCACACAGTATATGGGTCTCCTCTGAAACCAACAGCGCATGCACAAGAGGCACTTCCAATAGTGTTTGTACAAACTGTGTTAGTCCTATAATATTATAAATAATTCAATTGAAACAGGTGCCTAACTAGAAGGCAAAAAAATAAGGAAGCTGATGCTAAGTATTTTTTTAAAATCTTACCCACAGTAGTTGTAACCCATATAGGCAGCATCACATTCATTAACATCAACACAACCGTTTGGAATAACAAGATCTTTAAAGTTAGCCTTGCAGGAGCATTTAAAACTTCCTTCAGTGTTCCAACAGTTAGTATTCGGTCCGCAAACTGGACCTATTATAAGATCATCTTGTTAAATTAAGATTAAAATCTACTTCTAGATAAGTATTTGTATCTGAAGCTAGTCAATATTACAATTCTAAAATTACCAGTTGCGCATTCATCAATATCAATGCAGCCAGCAACAGGAATCCATGAATTGTATCCAGTTTGACAGGAACAACTAAAGCTCCCAATAGTATTGGTACAGGTAGTGTGTATCCTAGAGCAGAGATGGCCAGTTCTAATGCTATCAAAATATGCAACGGAATGCAGCATCTATAATTATTAAATTCAAGTGTTACCCGCAGTATGCTAGTCCAGGATACAAATGGTTCTTAGGATTATTGGGATCACATTCATTTACATCTTCACAGTATGGCTGAGCTACATCTTTCCTAATATTATAAACAATTTTATCTTATTTAAACAATATGCGGGTATGAGTTAACAAAACAATAGAGTTACTAATTAATTCTTAAAACTGCATGCTAAACATGATATTATGAAAAGGAGGAAGATAATTAAATTATGGCTTCTTTTCGTTTTTAGGTTAAAAAATGTTTGCAAAGATTTGAGAATGACCTTAAAAAAACTTCAGAAAAGTAAATTTATCTTTGCATAAATGATTTTTTTCAATTTTGTAAAATTGGAGCTGTTTTGCATGCATGTGTGTAATTTCACTATAATACCACTTTTGTTAGACGTTTTTGTGTGCAATAATGATATGTCGTTAATTCTTACTTGCAGTACAATCCAGCGCTACAGTCTTCATCGTTTAAACAACCAACTGCATTGTGTCCACACACATTGTACCGCTGAAAAGAAAAGTGTTTTTACATTATGTTGAATCCACACACTCTGTAACGCAGGAAAAAATCTGAGTTAGATCTATTGGTTGGGCGGAAAAGCCATAATTTCTAATGTTACACAAGCACATGCTTCGTCATTAAAGTCTATAATGCACCCCCTGTTGCTACCAATATTCACCCCTGTTTAAGATGATGATGTTGGAAGATGAAACTAGTTTTTTGCCGGTAAACTATCCTTTCTATGCGTGAAGGAATCTCCCATGGTATCCGATCAGTTTTTCTTTCAGTAGTGTTGTAAAGATTGTATATTCTATATTTATAATGTTATTGTGCTAAGAATTCAAGGACTAATATGGTAAATATCCTTTTAAATACTTAAACCCATTGTCCTAGTATGTTTCCTAGCATAATTCCACAGTTTTTAACGCCTGAGATGATGTTTTTGTGTTGTTTTGTTGTATGGATAATATGAAATTATGTCTCTGAAAGCTTTTCTGTGGTATTATCAAGCTTTATTTTATTTAAGATTGAAGGTATGTGTCTCAATAAAGCTTGAAGCTATCCTGAGTTTTATACATTATGAAGAGAGACGAGAGGAAAGGATCTTACAGTCAGGCCAGAAGAAATACGTAATATCTAAACTAGACCTGTTCAGCCAGTTTGATCGTTCTTTTAAACTTTTAAGTTTTTCTCAGTTTTCTGGTGACCCCATTCCAATTAAAGAAAGCCTAACAAATTGCTAAATCTTTTTTCTTTGATTATGATAATGTTTATAATCTATTCTTCTGTCAGAATCAAAATATTTTACAAAAGAAAACTTATAAAGAATATAATTTTGCAACTTGTTAGACCATGTAGATTTTTTGGGATTCATCCAAACACAAAAAAAGCTTTAATTTTAAAAAATATTAAACATTGAACAAGTTGCTAAAATATACCAAAAATCTATGATCTTTAAGTCTAATTTTAACAAAACATTGCTCATCCTGTAGTAAAAGTAGAAAACAGAGAACAAATATGTTACCTTGTTGCACACCCTGTAGCAGCAGTTATCAGTTGCTTGGTAGAAGGTTAACGAATGTTTAGGAAACAGATGACTAAAATTTTGTACTTTCTTTATATCTAACATGATTTTAAATCAAATCTTAAATACCTTGGAAAGTAAGTATTGTGGACACAGAAGTCATTTCCACACTTTAGCCAACCAGGGTTCTGAAATTACCTTTTAATGACCCAAGTTTTTATCACATTTTTAAACATGATCAATCAAGTTAATTATACTTAAAAACCAATTAGTCTGGCGGTTTATAGTTGTATGAAAAATTTCTTTTTAATTGGTTTCAAGCAGCTAATTTTATCTAGATTTTGCTGAATTTTTCAACTTTGCATGATATGGAAATAGTTTGAATTTTAAAAATGATTTAATTAAAGTTTTTAAAAGTTTCTAAATCGAAACCGGCTATTTAACATTTATTGTTGTGAAAATAAAGCAGGTTAAAAAAGGTTTGTATTCTATAACATGAGGATACAATACTGAGCTGAACATTCTTTACTTTACGAGGCATTAAGGAAATGTAAGTCTAATTTTAAGTTTGTTGAATATTTTATGGTAAGAAATTGGAAAGAAATTTTCAAAACAGGGATTGGAAAAAATTGTGACAAAAACTTTATAAGTAAAAACTATTGAAATTGAAAATCAGTTTAATACCTAGCTATCTGTGTTCCTACCCCTCAGAACAAGGTGGAGTTCACTTTACCTAACAATCTTTACAACTTCACAGTGTCTCTCCCCCTCAGCACAAGGATGGTCTGGAGTACTCAATACCTGGCAATCTACATTAACTTCACAGTGTCCCTCCCCCTCAGCACAGGGATGGTCTGGAGTACACTGTACCTGGCAATCTGCATCAACTTCACTGTGTCCCTCCCCCTCAGCACAAGGATGGTCTGAAGTACACTATACCTGGCAATCTGCATCAACTTCACAGTGTCCCTCCCCCTCAGCACAAGGATGGTCTGGAGTACACTATACCTGGCAATCTGCATTAACTTTACAGTGTCCCTCCCTCTCAGCACAAGGATGGTCTGGAGTACACTATACCTGGCAATCTGCATCAACTTCACAGTGTCCCTCCCCCTCAACACAAGGATGGTCTGGAGTACACTATACCTGACAATCTCCATCAACTTCACAGTGTCCCTCCCCCTCAGCACAAGGATGGTCTGGAGTACAGTATACCTGACAATCTGCATCAACTTCACAGTGTCCCTCCCCCTCAGCACAAGGATGGTCTGGAGTACACTATACCTGGCAATCTGCATCAAATTCACAGTGTCCCTCCCCCTCAGCACAAGGATGGTCTGGAGTACAGGGGGGTTCACAACAATCATCTTCAGCATCCCATAGTCCACCTTCACCCCAGTGCCTAATAGTTTTATTACATTTATAGGGAAATAACATATTTATAAATAGATATTTATGAAGAAATAGAATAAATTATGTCTCCATTATCTTTTATTTGATTTTTTAGGTTTATAAATTTGTTTGCAGATTTCTACAAATTCTCAGTGTTGTTTTTTCAATAGAAATTACAAAAAAATCGATGGAAAACATTTTTCACGATCAATTACTACAGAAACCGATAACTAAAAGGATTACTTTTTTTGGTGACAAAAATTTCATTTTATTTTCTGAACCTGTTTCTAAACAACAAATTAGTTTAAAGTAGGATTTGTGTTACATTTTAAGTTGGGGTTATTAATTAATTGTAAAAAAAAACCGTTTCCTCTGTGGACCAGCCTCCTTCTGGTGAAATTTTACAAAAGAATTTAATGCTCTTGTTAACAACCCCAGCTTTTTACTTACAATACAAGCTGTTAAACCTAAACAGGCTGTTTTTTGTCCTGGCACTCTCATTTTTGACACTATCACCGTGAAATTTTGTGACTTTTAATAAATAGTAATTTAAAGGATTTCTTGTTAAAATTGTGTTATAGTGATAAGAAACTTGTAAGAAGGTATTTTTTGTTATTTTCATTTACATCAGAAATGCCGTTAAGGATTTTCTAATTTCAAATTTTTCAAACTGAAATATCTCTTAAATTTTTCAGCAAAAAGTTAAAAAAAAGATTGATTGTCTATCTTACTTGACACAATTATTGTTGCCACATTTCAGTGTGCCGGTACACTCATCATCATGATTGCAATCTCCCTCCCATAAGTCACACAGTTCTCTTCCACTAAATGATTATTTAGTCAAAGAACCATGTGTAGTTTTGCCTGTAGTTTCCCTAATCTGCAAAAGTCATCTGGGACTGAATTTAATGAATTTGTAGAAATGGGCACATTCTTTTTTTTACGTTTCCTTCATTATTTAGTAAAGTTGTTTGTTTAGTAAAATTGTTTGTTCAATAAAATCGATTTTTTATTAAAAAACTTGAGCTTATTTCTAAAACAAAATTTAAAAAGAGCAGTGAATTTTTTATCTTTTTGTCTTGTTTCTATTTTAGATCTACGCATTCTAGTGTCTTGTAGACCAGGGAAAAATACATTTTGACACATATTTCTGATTCACACTACTCTTAAATTTGATATCTTGGCGACAGAAATATCAAATTAAATATAATAGAAAGTTACTGATTGTGAGTAAATATCAGATATATTTGTAGTTTTTGGTAATGTCTTACTCAACAACTGTTGAAATTAGCTTCAAACTCATTTTCCTCAATATTCTTACAGGTTGGAAAAATAAAAGTCACTAAGTGGGGTTTGAAAATTCCGAGGATATCCTTGTCAGAATTCCACCTTAATATTGACAATTGACATCAGAAAGGTTAGGCTAAGAATGGATATTTTCGACAAAAGAATTTTTGATTCTTGTAAGTTCATTTTGGACACAGTGCTTCAGAATATGGCTTCGCCTATAGCAAAATTTTCCATGCAGCCGGCAGAGTATAAACCGGTATCATAGTGCATGGTGCACAACCTATCAGGTTTCTAATTTTTATGTTTCCCTTTTCATTTTTTTCCGGCAAGAGGGAAGGGGAAGAGAGAGAGAGAGAAAAACCCCTCCTTCTCTGTACTATTATTTGAGAGTTGATGTTTTACACATAGAACCAGATTCTATCGGAAGAATTAACATCTTTTAGCAATGTAAAAAACCTCAATTCTCCAGGTTAATGCAGCGTAAAAGATTTGTGTTTCTTGTAGTTCCGTATATTGCTTTTTCATTTGTGTGCAGGGGTGTATACGGGGGATATATAGCAATGGCTAAAGTTTCTCCCTGTATTTCTGAGTACTTTTAGAAGCGCCCCGAGCCAGAGCCAGTTGGTGCTACTCTGAAGTCTGAAAGCTAGATGAACAAAAACTGATTGTTTTATCAACATTTTGCGAACAATTTGTTCATTCAGTAAAAAATGATCATTTTTAAATTTTGTGTGAACAAACGATTTATAAAATGTTCATAAAAGATCAAGATTGTTAGTTTATGAATTTCTCTGATCAATCCAAATAAAAGTCCATCGTTCGTATTCATTCTGATCAAAGAAAAATGGTGCCCATCTCTTAACCTACCATCTCTATAGATTTTTTAAGCTTATTTTTTATCATTTTTTGAAATGTACAATAATAGCTTGGTTAAAATATAAAAGTTTAAGAATGAATTAAATACCTTTTTAGGACAAAACAAAGTATCTTCTGTATACACAAATCTTTAGCTTAGATCTTGAAAACCATCGTTGACAAAATTTAAAAAGAAAAGTTTTTTAAAAGTCAAACAATACAGGAAATAAAATGTCAAAAAAAATCCCGAGTGTGATTTATTGTTTCATCGTCTTTAATCCATACCTGCCAGTTCTGAAATATAAAAAATGAATTTTTAAAATTTTAAAATTTTTACCTAGACTGCTTTTTTTTGTTTACCTGCGACAGCAATTTTCACTTCCGCTGAAAAAAAAAATTTATTATTTTTATGAAGACGACAAAAATAAATGAACCAACAAGAAAGATTGTTTAGTCTTAAAATGAAATCCTGTTCCAGGGGTTTATTGTCGAATTAATATTAGTAATATGAGAAAAAAAAGATTTCAATTCAAGGAAGAATTTACATCTTCTATAAAAGGACTGTACATGTGGATTTAACGATTCTGTCAATATTTCAGAAAACTGTGACTTTCGATCAAAATATGACCCCTTTTACATAATTTTATATTTGTTAATCTGAAATACTTTTTTGTTGACATATACATTATGAATGAAAAAGAATAACATAAACAAATCTGTAAGACTAAAGACTGTTGAAATAAAGACAAAATCACGTTTGATTTAAAATAAAAGAAACCGAATGCTTCTCTCTCTCGTTAGTTCAGGGTGTGTATTGTATAAATACGTAATTTTAAGCGATCCTCGATTCAAATATGGAAATGCGCGATTCACAACAGTATGCTTAAAAGATTTGTCTGATCAAGTATAATTAAAATATTCATGATTATAATATTGAAAACTGATTATTTTTAAATGTGATTATGTGATTTGTCTACAAAAGTGACTTGCGCATTTCTACTGGAGAAAACCAGTGATGATGAATTATCATTACCTGCATAGAATATCCCACTCATCATAACTCCCAGCATCAATAAATATTCTTATACCATTATCTAAAAGGGATTGAAATAAGTCAAATGATATGCATGATATTGATAAGGTACCAATCATTCTATTTTATAAAAAATACATAAATATGGGATTTAATATAGGGGTAGGCGAATAAATCAATATAATGAACACGACCTTCTATTTCAATTTTGTTTCATATCAAGCTTTTAAACAGCATGAATGCTCAAAAATGGAAACATAAAGAAGTTGTCAATAAAAATGCTTTTCTTTAATCACTTGTAAATTTGTAAATCAAAAAAGCTTGTTAACAATAAAACTGAAATACAAGTCGTCTTCATTATTTTGATATAATCCCCTGCCACCGTACCAACTGCCTAAACGAATACTTTATAAAGACAACCAAATCTCTTAAAACTATTGGTTGTTTATTTTCATTTAGACAGCCTTTTACTAAAGTTAGTAGCACGTTATATGTAGAAAGAACCTGCAAAATCTTTCCCTGGGATGAAAGGTGAAAATTTCCCTGTATGATACTTGAAGGCCTGCAGTATGGTTTTTGGTAAATTATATTCATATATTCATTTAGTTAAGAGTTTGAGTCAAAATAAGTATTAATAAATATTGCTTTATATCGAGTAGATATCCTTAAACATACCGATGTAAAACTCTAAGAAAGTAAGAAAGATTCTGCAAAAAAAGTTGCCATACTAAAAAGAATTTTTACATAGAAGCTTTTCTGGGTTGCACTTTACGCTAGTAAAACAGTAAAAAACTTTTTTCGCTCACAATCCTTTAATTTAGGAATTGTCACGTTTTCAGTATTTAAGAAAAAAATTGAATTACATTTGCTTTTCTGGACATGGCACGGGGAACCATCACAGGCTTTTCACAACAAATATTTCTTTCAATTTGCATAAGTTACAAGTTAATTTTTATCTGGATTATTGCTGATTCTAAAAATAGAGCCTACAATTTAGATCTAGTTTGACCTCCCTTCCTCTCCTGAAACATAAACCGGATTTTTCTAGAATGTTCTCAAACCAAGCTTAATATACGTACACGTGGAAAACCTTTGACTCATTAAAAATGAATGAGTACTATATGATACAAATATGAAGCCTCAATACATAAAAACCCAATAAATTATTAAATATCAATAAATCAAGGCTTTCTTTCTGAATTATTTATGGGCCAAGCTTAAGTTAATAAGAAAATAAATATAGAAACAAAACAAAAAAAGACGATAAAATGCAGTTATAATGCCTTTTCTAAACTCTCAGGACTAAATTAAAAATATTTATTCCTAAAAAAAAAGAAAATTGAACCCAATCTTTCTTTGAATTCTTTCAAAAAATAACACCCTTAATAAATTTAGTTAGGGGGGGTCGGTCGGTATAGTACCCCCATCTAAGAAAAGGCTTGGATTATGAAGGTGAAATAAGCCAGTCAATTTTTGACTTTTTATATGACATATGCTTTTAGCTTACATTTTTCAATTTTACAATTGTGTCTAATATTTTAGAGTAATTAGACGCAGTACTCAACTCCCAAACTTTTGTTTCATGAATGTCCACACAGGATGAGACATTAATGCCGACATAAATACGCTTTAAATTCATCAGTTAATTTAGACAAACCTCAAATTCAACCTGCAGTCTTCTATTTTTATGTTTATATATTGACTTTAAGAGCTTCAAGGTGAAAGTCGAGCAAGTGCATGGGTGAACCGTGAACGGCGGGATTGGACAGCTAGTCTGATAATAAACCTGTATCTACTAGAGTTGATAGCATTGCCCCCTCGCAGGTTCCAAACACAGTTCCTGAATGATTTCTAATTAATTAATTATAAACTGAAAAACATGATTAATGTTTTGGAATTATTCAATTCTTTAAAAACACTTTTTACTTAATTCTTCAAAGGCGCTTAGAAACGCTTTATTTATACAGGGGAATGTCCAATTTACAATGGTACCCTCTAAACCTTTGCTTGATCATTGAAGAAGAACTTAGTCTTTTTAAAGGGAGTGACCGGCTATGTAAGGTAGTTGAACTGAGTATGCAGTGTTGTGGAAAGCTTCTTTCGATTCATTTGAGACATATTAAACTTTTTAGAGATCTGTAAATCCTGAGTTTGAGTGCAAATTCGACGTTAAAAACTCCTACTTTGGGGGTGGATACGTTTTCAGAATTAGTTTTTTTAAAATTATTTAATAACGACAACGAAAAATAAAGTAAAAATTATACAGTAATCTAATTAGATGGTTACGAACATGTTTCTCAAAAGAAATTTGTCAATAAATCTATGTTAAAATCGATTATTTTTTTTGGAAACCTAAATATTTTGAAACTGCATGATATTCTTCAATTGAAAGGTTCAATTTTTATATACAAACACTTCAATGAACGACTTTCTGAATCGTTTTATAATATGTTTTGTGCTTTGTCTCATCAAAACCGAACAAAATGCTTAAGATTAGAAAGACTTATAGGAAAAGTATTAGAACAATTTCCTAAAGTTTTCCTACCACAAATATGGAATTCATTGTCATTAGAAATAAAAAACTCGTGTTCTTTAAACTCGTTAAAAAATAAATATCATGTGGATAAAACAAATATGTATCTGCAATTTGAATGTTCAAAATCAAACTGTTATTCATGTATTTCTGAATAAATAAATGTGCCATCCTTAGTTCTGAGCCAGCTATTGATTCTGATTGAGCTAAATAACTCTCCCCCCCCCTCTCTCTTCCTAATACTTTCCCCCTACTTATTGGACGAAACACCTCCAATTGTATGTTTTAAAAATAATATCATACAGTAACATCCGGGTTTGCCATTATTGACGGCCAATGTTGGCTTGGCAAATCCCGTCATTAAAGTGTTAGTTTAAAGAATATATCTATGTAAAATTATGTACTTTAATGATAAATATATATCTATCTATCTATTATTTCGTCTTCATTATTATATTGAATTTCTTATTTTCTTTGAATTTATTCGCAGATTTCTTCAAATTCTTCAAATGTCGTGTTTTCAATAATAATTCTAGAAAATCTGCGAAAATCTTTGTGAATAACGAGAAACTAGAATAATGAAAAAATAGAAACGAATAATTGAACAAGATTACTTATTTTCGATGATAAGATTAATTTTTATTTTCTTAACATGTTCCTATACATGACGTCTGTAGTTTTTGTAGAACTTTTTACATTTTATGTCGTTGTTATTTAATAATTTAAAAAAGCTAATTCTGAAACGTATCCACCCCCAAAGTAGGAGTTTTGAACGTTGAATTTGCGCTCAAACTCAGGATTTACAGATCTTTAAAAATTTTAATATGGCTCAAATGAATTCGAAAGAAGTTTTCCACAACACTGCATACTCAGTTCAACTACCTTACATAGCCGGTCACTCCTTTTATGAAATGTTAACCATGCAATAACAATATGACTGAATTTTTTCTTGCTGGAAGTGGAAAGTTATTATTTTACCATTTCTATGAGACCCTATATCTTTGCAAACTGAGCATGCGGACCTTTAGTATTTTGAAATTAAATAATTGACCTCACAAATTATAAATTGTTTAAGATATCTAAAGTCTAAACATTGGATTGCACAGATATACAAATTAAAAAAGCAGACTTGTGGCAAAGACTCAATTTCCTAGTCAAATGTTACATTTTTGATTGCTCAGTTTTTAGAAAGCGCGCTATAGATACGTTTATGATTTTTGAAACTGTTCAGCTAGTATCCTTCGATCCGTTGGTTTAAAATTCTCAACATGCAGTCGTTATTGAAAAATTGTATTTAAAAATTGTAAACATTTTCCATTAAACTTGGGTTGAAATAATTTAATACAGACCTGGACTGAAGGAAGTTTGTTGGAACCAGAAAGAATTACAGTTTCCAAAATGAAGGCATTTAGTTCCACAATCTTTCTCATCTTTTGCTGTTAGAGTCCATGTTCTGTACTGAACATTGAAAATGACTTTAATGAATTTCCAATTGAAAATAAAATAACAATAAGGTTAAAAAATCTAAGGTTTAAGGGATTTAAAAAAGAAAATTACAATCAGCTTTGGCTCCGTAAATTAAGAATATATATACTTTTCTTATTTGTTTGTATCAAATAAGTGTCAAAACGGCTGATCCGATTAAATGCAAATTCATTTGTGGCACCTCATATAACCCCAGGGAAGGTTTATGAACAGTCCGAATTAAAAAAAGAGCCACTAAAATATTTAGATTTTCGTAAAATTTGGCAAATATAGGAAACTATTTTATTGTTATTTTAAAATGCATGAAAAGAAAATGCTCACAGACAGAGCAACGATTAAAATTTGAAGCATAAGATGGGTGCGAGGCACCCTAAAAGCATAGCTATACTTTAATAAATAAAAATAAAATATTTTTATCTACACATATTTTATAGCTAATTTCTAGCTCCACACCGATCTTGAGATTGAGAAAAGAAACAACTTTGAAGTTTAGCCAGGCCCTTGGACTTACAGTTTGACCCAACCAACCTAATTTTTTTTTTAAAGTTCTGAAGATGTTAAAAGGAAACTAGCATTAAAAAAATCTTTCACTGTGAATTCCTTACCTGGGTAAATGTACTGTATGTCATATTCATTGTCGACATGAACACTGTGCTCCTTAAAACATAAAAAAAATTGCAAGATTTCTTATTACAAATATATTTTAAAATAAGAACGAGAAATTTTTATTTATATTCATTTTTATTTATTATAATACATACTTTTTTATTTATGAGTTTAGTTTAAACAAAAAAAGATAGAATCTGCTCTGTTTAAAAAGGAAAGTTTTTTTTCTTTATAAATGGGACTCCTATCGAAAAATCAAGTGAACCCCCTTCTATAAAGTGTTGCTTATAAAATACTTTATCTGTAAAAATAAAAAATTGATATTTTCTTTTTCTTTAAAAATGTATAATTCTGCAGATTTTCTTTTTTTATATTCTGTTTAAGAGTGCTGTTGTAAATCAGACTCTTGAAGTAGAGGATCACTTTAAATCGATTAATCCCTTTAAAGACTTTTTTGTTTGCAATAAATAATGAAAAAAAAAGTTTACTTAAGTCCATGAGTATAAGGTGGCGGGAGAACTAAAAATATTAGGAACCATTTTCCTGTCATGTTAAGACTCGAATGAAGAACAAAGAATCAATTTATTATTAACCTTCGTTAATAAGCTAATTATAGAACCTTGATACGTACCTTGACACGTACTTTGATACTTACTTGGATACCTAGATACTTAAATACCTTCATACCTGGATACCTAAACATCTGGAAACCTGGATACCTATATACCTGGATACCTGGATACCTGGATACCTGGATACCTGAATACATGGATACCTGGAAACCTTGATACCTGTATAAATGGATACCTGGATATCTGGATACCTGTATACCTGGATACCTGGGTATCTGGGTACCTGAATACCTGGGTACCTGGAATTATGGATTTCTGGATTTCTGGATACCTGGATACCTGGATACCTGGATACCTGGATACTTGGATATCTGGATACCTTGATACCTATATAAATGGATACCCGGATACCTGGAATCCTGGTTACCTGGATACCTGGATACCTGGATACCTGGATACCTGGGTACCTAAATACCTGGATACCTGGAATTATGGATATCAGGATACCTGAATACCTGGATACCTGGATACCTGGATACCTGGATACCTGGATACCTGGATACCTGGATATCTGTATACCTGGATACCTGGAAACCTGGATATCTGTATACCTGGATACTTGGATTCATAAAATTATGGATACCTGAATACCTGAATACTTAGATACCTGGATACCTGGATGCCTGGATACCTGGATACCTGGATACCTGGATACCTGGATATACTTAGACACCTGGATGTCTGGATACCTGGATACTTGGATACCTGGATATCTGGATACCTGGATACCTGGATACCTGTATATCTGGATACCTGGATACCTGGCAACCTTGATACCTGGCTACCTTGATACCTGGATACCTGGATATCTGGATACCTGGATACCTGGATACCTGGATACCTGGATATACTTAGATACCTGGTATTAGGTACATTGAGATATAAACGATTTTTTTTCTATGATATATTGCTTCTCATGAAATGAAAGCATTTATGTCAGAACCCATTAATTTGCGAACCATCAGTTTGAAGTAGGTAAATAATTGTAAGTAATTTATTTATGAAATATAATAAAAACATATAAAATTAAGTGTTTCAGAAGAAAATTTTTAAAGACCTTCAAAAATAACTGGGTTATGGGAATATTTCCACTCAATTATAAAAAAGAAAAGTTACATATTTATTACTTGCATTACATTTGATATAACTTTACCCGAACTCTTCCCTTAACTAATGATGATCCAGTTTTCCTGTACAAAAAAGTGATAAATTACTTCCCGGGTTTAAATATTTAATAAAATGAGCTGAAATCGTAGAAAAAAGGTAGAAACTAGGAAGGGAAATGTCATTTTTTTTCAAATTAACCTTAAAAGAAATGCAATTTTGAATATATATGTTTAAAACAAATATAAAACAACAAAAAGTTTGAAAACTTTCTTTTTTTCAAATCGATTTTTTTCTGTAAATAAATAACACAATTGAAATAGAGGAATGGCTATTTTTTAGGATTGATTGGTCAATAAACCTATGACGCCCAGAAACTTAGAAGATTCCTTCAGTATTAGATTTTCAAGCTACATGGAAAACCTAATTGCTTAATCCACATAAATATATATATATATATGTTTGATAAATAAAAGAGATGCAATTTATGCAACACAGAAAAAAACCCTTATCCTCACATCTACACATCATCATCTTCTAAATCAGCGCAGTCGGCATAGAAGAAAATATCTATTATCATCGATTTAACAAAATGTGATCATGTTTTTATATGTATCTAATAATTTGTATATTGCAGTTAAATGTTTTATTTTTTTAAAAGGAAAATCAGTGCAAAGAAATTTTTGTAATTTTTAAAAAAAGAATACGCAATATGTGATGGAAAAATGTTGGAGTTTTAGTTGTTCAAAGAATTTTAACTACTGATGATCGTCATGATAGACGTGAAACATTATGTTTAGTATAATTCTTTTTAATAAAAAAAAGTTAAAAACTGAAATATATATGTATGTATATATCTAAAATTATATATTTATATTTATATATAATCTCTGTTTGGGTGTAAACTAGGGAAAAAAGGCAATGTTCTTAGTTTAGGTTTGAGAGTCTGAATTGAGTGGATTGACTTTAATATAAAAAATTTAAGTAAAATAGACAAAGTGCGAGTTAAGGGTTTGGAAACATATGAGCTACCTAAGCAACGCTGGGTTCCCCAGCTAGTATTAGCATCAGATCGCTTAAAGTTCGTCTTCCTATTCCAGAGTTTTATGGGTCCCACTGTAGTACACTTACAACAACACTTGTTAACCCTTACAAGAAAATAAATTAAATTGGAAGCTTTTAGGATTTTCTTTCTGAAAGTTAAAAACTCTTTCAGTTTGATAAAAATGAGTTTTGTCAATTTTGTTATTTGAATTATGCCCAGCTCTAAAAAATTATTTAAACCTAGATTTTTTAGAGCAAAAGGACCAACGTCTCACAGGGGTGTATATTCTCTCTAAAATTTGATTTCTTCCCCCTGCATCATTTTGGATTTTGGTTAAAAAGATTGTTTTCCTTGCTGTTCAGAATTTTAAAAAAATCTAAATATTTGCTCTTTTTTCAGTTTTTTGCTGTTTTTTCAGTTATTTTCTCTTTTTTAATTATTTTCTCTTTTCCGTTATTTTCTCTTTTTCCGTTATTTGCACTTTTTCCAGTTATTTGCTTTTTTCAGTTATTTTCTCTTTTTTAGTTATTTTCTCTTTTTCCGTTATTTTCTCTTTTTCCGTTATTTGCACTTTTTTCAGTTGTTTGCTCTTTTTTCAGTTATTTGCTCTTTTTAGTTATTTGCTCTTTTTTCAGATATTTGCTCTTTTTCAGTTATTTGGTCTTTTTTAGTTATTTCTCTTTTTTCAGTTATTTTCTCTTTTCTAGTTATTTTCTCTTTTTCCGTTATTTTCTCTTTTTCCGTTATTTGCACTTTTTTCAGCTATTTGCTCTTTTTCAGTTATTTTCTCTTTTTTTAGTTATTTTATCTTTTTCCGTTATTTTCTCTTTTTCCGTTATTTGCACTTTTTTCAGTTATTTCTCTTTTTTCAGTTATTTGCTCTTTTTCAGTTATTTTCTCTTTTTTTAGTTATTTTATCTTTTTCCGTAATTTTCTCTTTTTCCGTTATTTGCACTTTTTTCAGTTATTTGCTCTTTTTTCAGATATTTGCTCTTTTATAGTTATTTGCTCTTTTTTCAGTTATTTTCTCTTTTCAGTTATTTTCTCTTTATCATTTATTTGCTTATTTTCAGTTATTTGATCTTTTTTAGTTATTTCTCTTTTTTCAGTTATTTGCTCTTTTTCAGTTATTTGCTCTTGTTTAGTTATTTGCTTTTTCAGTTATTTGCTCTTTTTAGATGTTTGCTCTTTTTTCGGAATTTACTTTTCTCTTCCATGTTTGTCCATATTTTGATTTAGAATGTTGACCCCAGAATTTTCTTTCTTTTATAAGTAAATTTCTTGTGTAAGTAAATTTCTTGTAAAAGTAAAAATCTTAATTAATAATAGATTGAAGTAAGTATATCTTGATTAATAATAGAGTAAAGTTCGTGTAGTTCAAATTAGTCTCATCATGACTCTGCTTTGGTCAATTCCTCTTTTAATCTCCCCTGCCTACATTCAGGGGTTTAAGTAAATAAGTTTTTTTAAATATAAACCTTGAATTTACGAGGCTAATAAGATCAAGTATGAGCCAACAGATAGAGATGGGAGCGTTCAGTTTTTTTATTTTGTTCGTTCATTGTTCATGAACGATACATTTCGTTAGTTTTTTTTCAATCCTTTTGAAAAAAGGATTTCGTTCGTATTGAAAATTATCGTTTATTTTCCATTTATTTTTTTACTGTACGATTATAAAACCGTTTGTTCAGTTCAAAAACAGGTTCGAGAAAATGTTTGTTTGCTAAATCGTTCTTTAAAAGCTTGCAAAACAAACGTTCGTTCATTTAAAAAAAATATTTTGAAAATTCTGTCCTTCAAATTGATTCTAACGATTTTTAACCATTTCGTTTTGGATTTTTCTTCGTTCGACTATTTTTCCTTTCTCTGAACAATCCAAATTGTTTGTTTATCTTTGGATGTTTTCTTCTGAAAGACACCATTTTTGAAAAAAAATTTCGTTCCGAAAAACGATCTTATCTCTACCATATAACACTTCTATTTTCATGAAGACTTTCTTTAAAAAAATATATTGTGGATTGTTTATGCAGATTAATTTATAGGAGCTCTATGTTTATGTCAACAACCAACATGACATATAGCAAATTCACAGAGGTAATAATAGAAAGGCATTACAAATCAACAAAAAATAAAAGGACATATACACGTAGGCGTAGCTCTCGTTGGCACTGACAAACCTGAATTCAATGTATGTTTCCATTTTTTTTTGCCATTTTAAGAAACATTGAGTTTAATAAAACGGATATCCCCCACCCACCAAAAGTATTAATTTTAGAATAAAAAGAACAATATCCCGACCCCACAAACAAATTAACGAGTCAATGTATTAAAAATGCAGTATTTCTGCGAAATTATTGCTTTGCCATAATGATAAAATAGAAGACGACATTTTCTTTATAACTACCGTTTTTAATATTGGATATATCATTTGGTCTCTGGCCCATCCCTCTGACTAGAATGTTACTCCATAGCACTTGAAGAAACATTCAGTGACATCTTAAAATTTTCTTTAACGATTATTGGCATATTTTATTCAAAGGAAATGAGTAACTAATTTTCAAATTCAGGTTTATTTCGACAGAAGATTCTTATTTCTAACAAATGATTAAATTAATTTGACATACAAATTGTTGTCAGTTTACGTTCAATTTCAGCACAAATAATTAACAATTGTGTTAAATAAGTACTTTTTTGATATTAGCGCTATAGTCGGATATATTTTTAATGCCGTTCTTTGATCTTTATTAATAATGAATTTCATAAATGTTCATATATGTTTGTTTGTCTACCAGCTTGTCTCTCTTAAAGTCAATAAGGGCCCATATTTATTTTGACAACACTCATTCCAGGGTTGGATGGACTGTCAAAATTGTAAATTTTTACCTGGAAAAACTGTTTACATTTATTATTTTTGAAAATGCGCAATTTTTTAACGGAGAAATCCGTGAATATATGCTTTTAAAGAAAAACAATAAAAAATGGCGAAGTAAAAAATTTAAAATTAAAAGCCATAATTGTTAAGAAATAGTTGGTGTGAATTCAAAACTTCTCTTCAATATTCAGTACAGAACATGGTCTCGAACAGCAAAAGATGAGAAAGATTGTGGATTTAAATGTCTTCATTTTGGAAACTGTAATTCTTTTTGGTTCCAACAAACTTCATTCAGTCCAGGTCTACTTTGTTATATTGAGGGATTGATGTATCAATGAACAAGTGAATTTACAATTTAAAAAAATCCAAATTTACATTTTATATTTTATGTTTTTATTTGACTTAAAGATAGCTGTTTGTATTCAATTACCACCGAGTTTTAAACATTCCATAAATTGTTTACTGAATATATCTAATCTTTATGGCAGTGTCTTTATGGCAATATACAGTGAGCAATGAGCATATTATCTCTAGTTAGTAACTTAAGACATGCAATTCGTACAGTTCAAACTTTTGTAATATTATTTGCTAGAAGCTCATCTTAAAAAGGGTTCTGGGTTACCCACAAAAGTTGAGATTTGACAGACAACTGTACGGAGTTTGTTAAGTCTATTTCCTTATATTCAGGGTTCCTTGTAGGCCAAAACTGGCTTACTTCTGTGCCTCACCATTTAGTAAACCATCAAAATACTCAATTGAGCGCAGAAACCAAAAAGCAAGCTTTAAATCACAATCTTTCTTTTGTTTTTTTGTCGTCTTTACAGTCTCATCCTCTGTAGGTAACCCCGTATAACTTGGCTGTGATTTGGTTGAAATCAAGAATAGCCAGCAATATTTCTTTATAAAATAACTATTACAGGCAATGTATTCGGAATATGTGAAGGAGCAATGCTTTCCACTCTTGTAGATACAGGTACTGGCAATTGCCAAACTACTTTCAGATATTGGCAAGCAGAATTGCAGGCAAGCATAAAACTAAATTGTACAAAATGATATTTAAGAATGATTGCAAATAGGGCTGTTTTTGATAAAAAATGTAGTGCAACCAAAACATAATTGCGCCGAAGTTTTGAAACCCCAAATAGTAACCTACATGAATCGACAGATTTTAGGCCAACAAACTAAAATTTACCTTACAGTAAAAACTGTTCTCATATTGTTCAGAGGATGGAATTAGAATTTTTATTGATGCTGGCAGCTATGACGAGTGGGACATAATTTGCAGGTACACTTAGAGTTGTTTATCGGTTTTAAAAACGATCGAAAAAAACGATCATTTTTCATCACGTTTTATTTTTTTTATCAAAACAAATAACCTGAATTTTTTCTAACCTTGGATTTTCCGACCAAAAAATGTATTTTCTCATTAGAAGGTTGTTAACCATCCTTAAAGGATCGTTTTCAAAAGCGACGAAAAACTATAGTTTTTTAATAATTGATCATTAAAAAAAATTAAAAACTATCGTTCTTGAAAACGATAGACTTGGGTTTCGTTTTTTCTTTGTTGTTTTCAAATCAAAACAGTTGTTATTTTAAAAAGTGGAAGAGATAGGTACACCATATGGTCCATTAAAAAAGATCTCTGATAGAATTATAAGAACACTGATTTAATAGGATTTTTGAGCTTCATATCATCTTACAATTAAAAAAAAAAACTAGAATGAAAATGAGGATAGTAAGCAATATCAAAACTTTATGATGAATCATGAAACATTATTTAGACTAATTTGATCTAATATTATTCTTTCAGTGGAAGTGAAAACTGCTGCCGCAGGTAACAACAATAATGTTTATTAATGAATCATTCAAATTTTATATTCCTTAATTTCTCAAAATATTTTCTATTTTTTTCTTTTCAGAACTGGAAGGTAAAAGAACTATTGATCCACTGGAATTTTATTCGTTTACACAAGATTACTTAAATTTTGTCTTCTGATTCCACACATTTCTGGTGTCCACTGTCAACAATATTATTTTGATTAGTTTGAATAAAAGAAACTTCGCTTGTGACTGGCCACATAGATTCAGCCTACTTACAAAAAGTCTAATTAATTTTTAAGAGAGGGTCGACTTTGAAGTGTCGCAACGCCTTGGGCTTTAATTTTACTACTCTAACTCACATATGATTTTCTGTAGCCCTTTACATGTACATTTTAGCTCTTAAATGCACTTGTTGTTAGCTTTGGATTTAAAGAAGTAATTGGCAAAATTCTCATCGATTTTTGCTTGAGAGACACGAACCCTTTTAATCACAGTGGCAATGGATATACAATGTAATTAACCTTTCCAAAATAAATCAACATCAAAAAGAAATAATTAGAAACGCAATAATTGTGAACACATGACCTGACTCATTAATTAATAATAAACATAATAATAAGCATTATAAAGGGAAAGTTTAAGATTTATTTTCATTAATATATATTTTTACTATATTTCAAAGTAATTTTTTGTTGAAATGGGCAAAATAGGAAATGATTAGTTAATCCATATAATTCATTTTTCATTTGACTCTTTTATTCCGGTACAAGATATTAAATCTTAGCCAATAATAACATTTGTAAGTGATGTGTAGACTGTAAGTGGGAATTATCCTCAACTTAACATTTTCTTAATTTCTTTACCTTGTTTATTTAAACATAAATAGTTAAATTAAATGTAATAAAGTGGCAGAGAATTGTGTGGGTTGTGGGAGGGGGATTGCAAGGATGACAATGAGTGTACCGGCACACTGACATGTGGCAACAACAATTGTGTAAAGTAAGTGAAACTTTAAAAGAAAAATTCCGGTTGTTTACAATTATAAACTGTGTCTATAACAAATTTGTTGATTTTTCACTGTGAAAAAAAACTATTAGGCATACTGATGGGTATTATTTAAAGAGCCTTTTTAAATATTCAAGGTTCTTTGATTTAAAAGATGTTCCACATGAATGTAATATATTTAGCATGTCTCAAAGGTGTTTGCTCGATAATTTTACTATCGCAAAAGATCAACAAAAACAAATAAATGGTTGCTATCTTTGGTCAGAGAAATATTTTTCGTAAGGTAATAAAAGCAATCTCAAAGGACAATAAATGTTAGTGAGTATCAGCCTTTTAAGATTCCTTTAGTGCACAGCAAAATTGTAAAAACAGACATCATCATTTTATCTATAAATCAGGCACTGGGGTGAGGGTGGACTATGGGATGCTGAAGATGATTGCTGTGAACCTCCGTGTACTCCAGACCATCCTTGTGTTGAGGGGGAGGGACACTGTGAAGTTGATGCAGATTGTCAGGTATAGTGTACTCCAGACCATCCTTTTGCAGAGGGGGAGGGACACTGTGAAGTTGATGCAGATTGTCAGGTATAGTGTACTCCAGACCATCCTTGTGCTGAGGGGGAGGGACACTGTAAAGTTGATGCAGACTGTCAGGTATAATGTACTCAATCCTTGTGCTGAGGGGGAGGGACACTGTGAAGTTGATGCAGATTGTCAAGTATAGTGTACTCCAGACCATCCTTGTGCTCAGGGGGAGGGACACTGTGAGGTTGATGCAGATTGCCAGGTATAGAGTACTCCGGACCATTCTAGTGCTGAGGGGAAGGGACACTGTGAGGTTGATGCAGATTGCCAGGTATAGTGTACTCCGGACCATCCTTGTGCTGAGGGGGAGGGACACTGTGAAGTTGATGCAGATTGCCAGGTAAAGTGTACTCCAGACCATCTTTTTGCTGAGGGGGAGGGACACTGTGAAGTTGATGCAGATTGCCAGGTATAGTGTACTCAATCCTTGTTCTAAGGGGTAGGGACACAGATAGTTAGGTATTAAACTGAAACACAATTACAATAGTTTTCACTTAAAAAGTTTTTGTCACAATTTTTCCAATTCCTGTTATGAAAATTTCTTTTCAATTTCTTACTATAAAATATTCAACAAACTTAAAATTAGACTTACATTTCCTTTAATGCCTTGTAAATTGAACACTTTTCAGGTCAGGATTGTAGCCTCATGTTATAGAATACAAAAAGAAATTCAATCATTTTAACCTGCTTTATTTTCACAACAATAAATGAGTTGTTTAATAGCCGGTTTCGATTCAGAAACTTTTAAAAACTTCAATTAAATCATTTTTAAAATTTAAGCTATTTCCAAATCGAGCAAAGTTGAAAATTTCAGCAAAATCTAGATAAAATTAGCTGCTTGAAACCAATTAAAAAGTAATTTTTCATACAACTATAAACCGCCAGACTAATTGGTTTTTAAGTATAATTAACTTGATTGATCATGTTTAAAAATGTGATAAAAACTTGGGTCATTAAAAGGTAATTTCAGAACCCTGGTTGGCTAAAGTGTGGAAATGACTTCTGTGTCCACAATACTTACTTTCCAAGGTATTTAAGATTTGATTTAAAATCATGTTAGATATAAATAAAGTATACAATTTTAGTCATCTGTTTCCTAAACATTCGTTAACCTTCTACCAAGCAACTGATAACTGCTGCTACAGGGTGTGCAACAAGGTAATAGGTTTGCTCCTGTAATGTTTCTGATCTAGGTTGAACTAAATAATTTAGAGCACATCAAAAAGGCTAACTTATTTGATCAAATGCACCTTATTCAAAGCTTGGGTATACAAAGAATATAATGAAGCTTAGTATGAAGTTTTTTAACAAAAACTTGTTTGGTCTATACAGATATTTTTTCAGCGCTACAGAGTTTGTGGGCATAATGTGGTTGGTTGTTTAAATGATGAAGATTGTTCCTCTGGACTCTACTGCAGGTTACTAAGCTATGGCTAGACAAAGTTCATTAAAGGGACTGTTGGCGAACAGGCGCGTAGTGGAGGTTTAACCTAGGGGGGTGCACTTTTTTTGTGCACCCCCCTAAAAAACCGGTTTTAAGAAAAAATAAAGTCTAAAATCTATATTATTCTACCTGAATTCTGACTATTAGTCATATGACTATAATTACCAATCATTTTAAATGAAGCCACGCGAAAAAATATTGTAAATTAGATTGAGGTACAAGAAAGAATTTAAGAAATAATCATTAAAGGACAAATTGTTACATTGTCGATTGAAAAGTAAAAAATTTGAATATTAATGTAAGTTTGGGGGGTCAACTTGACCCCCCTCCCCCAGCATATCCCCAGCAAAGATAGGGTTAAAGAGTGTCTAATTTAGATTTGTACCCTGTCGGATCAAGAGTGCTTGAGATATCTCAGAATTAGCCCACACATTTCTGATCCAGAGACAATGAAAAAATTGTAATAGTTAGACTAGGGAGGGAACCCCCGGATGCCATGAGCCTCTACTATGCAGACATCGAGCCTCCCAGAATCGCTATGCAGTAAATGAGCCTCCACCATACAGCACAGCTTTTCTTAAATCTTGATTTTTATGATTGATGAAAACTTTTAACAATTTTTTTTTGACGTAGTGGCATAAGAATTTTACTAAAGATTAGAATTGTTCAATGATTGTCATGATTAGAAACATATTTGGACTCATAAAGTGGTTTATAAGATTTATATTAAAACTTTAAACATTTTTTACGCAGAAAGGAAGATATTTGGAGAAATATTTCTGGAGTAAACTTGGTTTGTTTTGTTGTAATCTTTGATTTAAACAATACCTTTTTTTAAAAAATGTTAAGATTTAAATAATAAATACAAATTTTTTAGATTTAATTTGAACTTCAAAAAAAGGTATCACTAAAATCAAAGATTATAAAAGATAAAATGAAATTCAATTAAAATTTTTTTTCTAAATATTTTCCTTTTCGTGTAAAAAATGTTTAAAGTTTTAAATACCATTTTATTAGTCATAATTAGGCACTATTTATGATAATTCATAAATAATTCTCATCTTTGAGAAGCCTCTCATGCCACTATGTCTAAAAATTTGAAAAAAATCTGTTATTTAAAATTAAGTTTTAAAAAACCTCCTGCATTACACAGGCACATTTTGATGTGTTTTGCGTGCTCACTTCTTCAAAGCGGAGGCTTGCCGCTTGGTCCGCCTAGCAACTCTGGAAGACTCGTGTCTGTATAGCGGAGACTCATGGCGTTCAAGGGTTTCCTCCCTCGTTAGACACTTTTTAAGTTAAAGAAACAAAAATATCTTTTACATAATTTATTAGATATAGGTTTAACGAACATGTATATTTAGGGTTGTTAGTCATTTTTTAAAACGATCGTTAAACGATCGTTTTTTGTTTCGTTTTTCAATTGTTTTCAAAAACAATTGTTTCGTTTTCGGAAAAGGCTATCGTTTTTAAAAACAACCCACTCGTTTTGAACTTTTAGAAAACGAATAACAATCGTTAAAAAAAACGATTTGCGACCTTTTTTTATATGATTGTTTTTAAAAAAAACGATCGCTTTTGAAAAACAATCGTTTTTGAAACTTATTGACAATTATCTTTAACTATCATTAACGAAGGGTTGTTGTTAACAATCGTTAACAAAGGGTTGTCATTAACGATTTTTAAGGAAACGACAAACTTTATAAAAACGGTCGTTTTAAAAAAAAACGATCAATTAAAAAAAAATTCCATGCATCTTTATTGAATATCTTCTCACATGAAGTTAAACAGTTGTTGGGGAGCTAAAACTTCTTGATTTTTTTTTAAAAACTACTCAATGATAAGTACAGATGCCCTTCAGGTTGATTTCCTCCCTTTGTTAACGATTGTTAACGATGGGTTGTCGTTAATGATAGTTAACAAAGGGTAGTTGTTAACAATTGTTAACTAAGGGTCGTCGTAAACGATCTTTAACCAAGGTTTGTTGTTAACGATCATTGACAAAGGTTCGTCGTTAATGATCATTAACGAATTGATAAGTTTTATAAAACCGATCATTTTTATAAAACGAACTTTTAAAAAAACGATTGTTTTTAAAACGATCATCGTTTTCATAACAAAACGATTGTTTTTCAAAAATGAAAACGTTAACATCCCTATGTACATCCTACAATTATAATACCAGCAGATAAACATTAGTTTGATAATTACTGGAAATTGTATCATCCAAGTGGAAAAAGGTTGATTTTTATATTACTTAACACAAATATTTTCTGTTTGCTTTGCTAATCTACTGGTCATTTACAAACAGATTAAATAAGTTTTATAACTTCCAAAATGTAAAAGTTTATAGAAATAGTTTTTAAATCATTGTTTATGATATTAGGAAAGATGTAGCTCAGCCATACTGTGAAGATATAAATGAATGTGATCCAAATAATCCTAAGAATCATTTGTATCCTGGATTAGCATACTGCGGGTAATACTTGAATTTAATATTTATAGATGCTACATTCCGTTGCTAATTTTGATAGCATTAGAACTGGCCATCTCTGCTCTAGGATACACACTACCTGTACCAATAGTATTGGGAGCTTTAGTTGTTCCTGTCAAACTGGATACAATTCATGGATTCCTGTTGCTGGCTGCATTGATATTGATGAATGCGCAACTGGTAATTTTAGAATTTTAATTTTGACTAGCTTCAGATACAAATACTTATCTAGAAGTAGATTTTAAGCTTAATTTGTCAAGATCAAAAATCCTGTTGTTCTTATAATAGGTCCAGTTTGCGGACCAAATACTTATCTAAAAGTAGATTTGAAATTTAATTTGGCAAGTTCAAAAATCCTGTTGTTCTTATAAAAGGTCCAGTTTGCGGACTAAATACTTATCTAAAAGTAGATTTTAAGCTTAATTTGGCAAGATCAAAAATCCTGTTGTTCTTAGAATAGGTCCAGTTTGCGGACCAAATACTTATTTTAAGCTTAATTTGACAAGATCAAAAATCCTGCTGTTCTTATATTCGGTCCAGTTTGCGGACCAAATACTTATCTAAAAGTAGATTTGAAATTTAATTTGGCAAGTTCAAAAATCCTATTGTTCTTAATAGGTCCAGTTTGCGGACTGAATACTAACTGTTGGAACACAGAAGGAAGTTTTAAATGCTCCTGCAAGGCTGGCTTTAAAGATCTTGTTATTCCAAACGGTTGTGTTGATGTTAATGAATGTGATGCTGCCTACATGGGATACAATTACTGTGGGTAAGATTTTAAACATGAATAATCAAAAAAATTATCATCAATTAAGTTAAGTTCATAACCTTAAATACCATTTGCTTTCATGCTAGTAAATATTTTGAAAGGTTTGTAGTTGATTGATTTGATTTACATATTTTCTAATGTTAGGACTAACACAGTATGCACAAATACTGTTGGAAGTGCTTCATGTGCATGTGCTGTTGGTTTTAAAGGAGATCCATATACTGTGTGCGGGGATGTGGATGAATGTGCAGAAGGTAAACTTCTTGTGCTAAATTTACACCTCTAATTTTGTGACTGTTTTGCATTGTTAATTATTAAAATTGTCATCATGAGTTAGAACGAAGTACATTAAAAAAGTGATTAATTTTGATTTAAATTTGATTTTATGGCTATTAGAAGTCTATTAGAAGTTTTCTCAAAAACAAGTCAGCACTATCAGGGTTTTTAAACGTGATATTTGAACAACATTTAATTATTATAAATCTTTTGATTATGTTTAGAAAAAACTTGATGATTAAATATACTTTCATTAAAGCAAAAGTACCATACTATTTTCATCAATTTCAAAATTAAAATTTATTCTTAGGCATCTCCTGTGGAGTATCAACAGTTAAATGCTTTAACACTATTGGAAGTTATTACTGCTCTTGTATGCAGGGTTATGAGCGTTTTACTCCCGGCTATGGGTGTTATGACATAAATGAGTGTTTAACTTCTGTTTGTGGGTGAGGATTATCAACATATCTTACATTTTTTTTTATCAATATCAATTGAACTCAAGGGACTATGGTTCAACGTTCAATTCATAATGGTACCCTTGAAACCTTTATCTGATTATTAATGTGGAAGATTTTATTTTTATTCTAGCTTGAACTAAACAAATCTTAACAAGGAGTTGAAGGAAGTTACAAACATCAGACAGAGCTTTTAAGGGCAATGTTATAAATCGAACATGCCACTTCTTATGAAAAAAAATGACTATCAGTTTCTTTATTAGAACATATGGGTCATGCTCTAACACTGCTGGATCCTTCTCCTGCAAGTGTTCTGTTGGGTATACAGGAACTCCTCCCAATTGTGGGGATTTAGATGAATGCAGTGCAGGTTCTTTCATATTTTTTTCAAATAAAGGAAATCAACTCTAGAATAATTGATGATACAAAGTTTAGAAGAATAAAAACAATGGAGTGTTGAATGCTTGTCTGAATACAGTTGGATCATCCCTATAGTCCACTTTTAAACTAGTAAGAGAGTAGCATGCTTTGTTCAGCGGTCACCCTACCCTTAACAGAAACACCCTCTCAAGTAACAATTTTGCAGAAAATCCGCGGAAATTCCCATGAATCTTTCCTCGGAATCCGCGGAAATTCACAGGAAAATCCGGTGAAAATGTCGACAGCTTTTCCTAGGAATTTCTCGTACCCCATTCTGAGGCACCAGGTCCGAGGAATTTCTTGTAACCCATTCCGAGGAAATTCTCGTAACTCTATCCAAGGAATTTCTTGTAACCAATTCCAGGGAATTTCTTGTTACCAATTCTGCAGAAAAACCGGAGAAAATGTCGACAAAATTTGTGGAAATTCTTAGGAATTTCTAGCGATAAGGTCTTCAGAACCAATTCCTGGGAATTTCCTGGGAACTATTCCCAAGATTTTCTCAAGAGTTCCTCAGGAATATCTGCATATTCCTGAGTAAATTCACTAGCCAGGAATTCGGCCCAATAGTAGTGAATAACTTAACAACTATATTTCCCCTCCAACTTTTTAGCAGTATAACCATCTTCTTAAGTCAGAATGTTATAGGTGTTTATAATCTTACTGATCAGTTGTCACATACTTTGTTTATTCAGACAACTGAATTGTCAAGAAAAAATAATAAAATGAAAAAAAAAATTTAAAATTTTTTTTTAAAGGATGGTTCTAAAGTAAATTATCATTTTTTATCAATGAGGATGCAAAGATTTAGTTAGGGCAGTGCATAATAGAAAAGAACCTCAGAGACACCTATTGGAGAAAAACGGAACTTAAAATTTCTGTGATGAAGTCCTGAGAATTTCTCAGGAATTTTGGGAGAAATATTCCTGAGAAATTCTTAGGAATTTTTTGAGAAAAATTCCAGAGAAATTCTCAGGAATTTCTCGAAACTTATTCTCTTATTTAATTCCCCTAAAAATCCGTAAACTTGGTGACCAGGTCCTAAGAAATTCTCAGGAATTTCCGGAGAAGCATTTAGGAGAATTTCTCAGGAATTTCTTGGGGTGAAATTCCGTAGAAATTCCCAGGAATTTCTCGAAACTAATTCTTTTAATAAATTCCCCTTAAAATCCGTAAACATGGTGACCAAGTCCTAAGAATTTCTCAGGAATTTCCGGAAAAGTAATCAGGAGAAATTCTCAGGATTTTTTCGGGGTGAAATTCCGAAGAAATTCCCAGGAATTTCTCGAAACTAATTCTCTTAATAAATTCCCCTAAAAATCCGTAAACATGGTGACCAAGTCCTATGAATTTCACAGGAATTTCCGGAGAAGCATTCAGGAGAATTTCTCAGGAATTTCTTGGGGTGAAATTCCGGAGTAATTCCTAGGAATTTCTCAAAACTAATTCTCTTAATAAATTCCCCTAAAAATCCGTAAACATGGTGACCAAGTCCTAAGAATTTTATTAGGAATTTCCGGAGAAGTATTCCGGAGAAATTCTGAGGAATTTTGTGCGGAAAAATTCTGAATAATTTCTCGGGAAATTCTTGAAACTGAGTCCCAAAACTGTGATCCCACAAAAATCTCTCATCTTGGGGACCAATTCTGGGGAATTTCTCGAGAATTTCCTAGGAATCAGTTACAGGAAATGATTCTCGAGAAATTCCTCAGAAATTCTTCAAAGAAAGTCACCACGGTTGGAGAATCTGGGGAAATTCCTCACTTTTGTTACTTGGGTGCATCTGTGCAATAATAAATAAAAATCCACTAATTTCTCTTACAAGTGAGGAAGTTCTCAGAATTAATAATTTTTCAAGCTTTTTTTAGGTGTTCATAACTGTGATGGTGTGCTGAATGTTTGCCTAAATACAGTTGGATCATTTAAATGTACCTGTACTGCTGCAGAAAGCTCTTACAAGTCAACTGGTATCAGCTATGGTTGCAATGGCGGTGAGTTCTTTCTTTAGTTTATATCATTTTTCTTAATTACTTTTTATGTTTATCTGAGACTAACGACTATGTAATTTAAGGTGGCTCTACGCTAAACAGTTTACGTTTAATTGATGGACCTGATAGTTTTACTGGTATGTATATAATTCTACACAGTGGTAGGCGATTATATAAATACAATGAAGAGACTAACTTTGATTTTTATAAATCTTTATGTAAAACAAAAACATGAAAACAAAGAGAAGCTGTCAATTAAAAAAGAGTCTCTTTTCTTACTTGTAAGCTTGTAATTCAAAACAGGCTTGTTAACAATTAAAACATAAATTAAAAGTTGTCTTCAGCATATTAATTTGTCAACTCATATTCTTGTAAAATAAATAATAAAAAATAAAATGGAGCATAACATTTGTCGTCTGTTTAAGTGTTCCTTTTTCAAAAGATAACAAAAGAAACTAAGCCAATTTGTAAACAACTTTTATTTTTAAAATGTAACCAAAAAAAAGAAATTATTGCTTGCTTTTTTAGCCATTTTAATTAAATACTCAAGCTCCTCACTCTAAAACATTTCAAATTTTCATCTAACAAAATTTGTTTGTGCACTGATCAAATTTACTTTAGCAGAATCATTTAACAAAATTTGACAAATGATTGAAAATTTAAAATTTCTTATAGTGTTTATCCAACACAATTCATGCTTTAAAATGTTTAAGGTCTACAACATTGGGTTGCAAAGATATAGGGATTAGAAAATCAGAGTTTGCAGGATAGATTTAATTCCTTGACAATGTATTTGCTAGTCTATAAACATATGGAATATCTGATCAGTGCTTTAAACAAGCATAAATATCTGATCAGTGCTTTAAACAAGCATAAATATCTGATCAGTGCTTTAAACAAGCATAAATAACATAAAACAAACTTTAAGGGACTGTTGAGTTCAAAGATGGAAAAGGATGGAAGGGCATTTGCCATTATGGATTTGATTGGGGCGAGGCAAATGCAATTTGCAGGCAGCTTGGATGGGGCAGTGCTTACACCTACATGACAAGTAGAGCATATTCCGGAACCTACAGATTTGTAGATATGGGGTGTGTAGGTACTGAAGCTACTCTCAGTGACTGCCCAAGCAATACACCTACCACCCAATGTGGAGCTAACGTGGCAGCAGGGGTTCAATGTAGAAGATAAATAAAACAACAGGAAAAAGTATGTGAACCCTACCACAGCGCAGATTTTTGTCTTAAAATGCCTTTAATGTTTTGTGGTAAAAAATAGTTGGCGGTTTACAACGTTAAAAACTTAACTGTTTGCAATAATAAATTATAATATAAATATCGATTTAAGGAATTTGTTAAAGATTGAAGTAATGAAAATTGGAAAACTGTAAGATGAAATAATGGTCTCATGCATCATCAGAAACTTCTCATGGAGTGTAGTTCTAATCAGATGGTGCATCAAAATAGTACTATGCTGAGTAGTATTGGTGCTATGGCTTGTGGCTCGAGTCGGATCATGAATAGTAATAATATAATGGAACTCATAAAACTGGCACTACTTTCCATAGTGATGGCATGAATGCATTTGCTCTGATTGCAAGGGCACTATGATGCATAATAAAATTTTAATCAGTGCGGTCTTTTAGCAGGTAAAAATATATCCTACTCTAACAATCCGAGTAATTAAGTTAATGTTCCAATCTTTAACAAATTAGTTTAGAAAAGATTAAAAAATTTGAATATATAACACACCGGTAGTTAACTTCAGGGTACAATTGACTCCACACTTATTGTGCACTTATCTTAAATGCATTGATTATGGTAATCTATAATTTTTTTATGAATACTTAAAGTACAGGGTTTCGCACACAACATGACAGAAGTAAGAGGAATGGTAGGTGCTCTTTGATTGAAATTTTATTTGTAAAATTCTAGAGTTATTAATCATAAAATACATCTGATCCTGAAATTTACGATATGTGGTCTCAGGTCTGTTTTTTTTGTGCTTTTAGATTTTGGCAATTTAATTGGTACAAAAAAGGCAGGCCACAGTTTGGAGATGCCAGAATAAAGGTTAATTTGTAATAGTTGTCAAGAATTTTACATGTAGAAGTAAATTGACTGCTGAACAAAGTTTCACTGATCAAAGACGACCATCAAAATGTCTTTTTAATGTCAAACTTTGTGTACACTACTAGGTTACTTGATGTGCTCCATGTTTGTCTAAAGCTTGCTCCAAGTTCCTGTAAGGGTTGTTTAACACAGGCAGCCTTAGTACATTTGAATTTCCGAGCCGGGTCTTCCTTTCCGGTCCCAGTTTGTACTGTATCACATTGGGTAGATAATGCAGACGCTCAATACGATTAGCCGGAGCAACAAGGTTAACTTAGTCAGACTATAGGTTGAATTTACTTTTACTGATGGGTCAGAGGTGCGTGTCCAAGCAGAAATCAAAATTTGAATCAAAGATAGATGTATTCTTTTTGTAGTTGACTTTTAGTGCTATTTAGTTGTGTGAAATATATATAATCCTTAAAAGTGTAATCTTATATATGAGAGGGATGAAGGAGAGTTCAAAATAGTATTTTTATTCCAAAGCCATTCTTTAAAAAAATATATATATATAAAAATACAACTACGTACATTTAAAGATTATTGAATCATAAAAACCCTGGTTAGTCCATAGATTCAAGTATTATTGTGCAATGTGCAATTGTTGTGTTTCTTTCAGTAGGAGGTGGTATTTTTCATAAATGATTATTTTTTATTGAACAAACACTTTTTTGGAACAAACTTTTTAAAAACGATTGTTTTTTACTAAACAAGCAATTTTTCCAACAAACTTTCGGAACGATCGTTCACTAAGAAAACGAACGAAATAAATGGAAAATGAACAAAATTTTTGAGAACCAATTAAAATTAATTTGTTTGACCATTGAAAAAAAAGAACATGGGTAGTTCACGACCGATGAATAAACAAAATAAAAAAAACAAATGCACCCATCTCTTTACAACTAGGTAAAGTGCTCAGCGCTGCCCGGAGAATTAAAAAAAGTTTTAATGTTACCTATACCCATGGGTTTCCTGTTTGGCCAGCTATAGCTAACATATATATACATATATATATATTTAATATATATTTAAACATCTAAAATGTATATTTAAACTGAAAAAGTTGAAAATACTATATACATATATATAGTTTCTTTATATAAAAATACACAAATAAATACAGAGTGAGTTTAAAAAAGTGTGATTAATGTAGTCTTTATCAAAACATTTTTTTTTCATGAAATCATTATGCATGGAATTTTGAAATATTTTTGAATATTGTTTACATTTTTTTATAATTCACATCACATGATACAACGAAAAAATCCTCGAACCTTTTTTCTTCGACTAAAAGTGAAGAAAAGAAAAAATGTGTTAATGTATAATTTCTTTCTGATTCTAACATTTTATAAAAATCAGACACATGGAAATGGAGAAAATCCTATCAGGAAAATTCGCAATTTAGTTCTAGTGTTCCAGTCTAAGCAAGGCTAACAATAAATAGATCTAAGAATTAGAGCTCTGAAATTTAACCAAAAGAATTGAGTACATTAACTAATGTGCAACTGTTAACTGTGTTATTTTTATGTTAAACTGAACAATAAATCGGCTCTTTTTTATTTAAATGTTGGGGATTCTTATGAATATATCTCTCACTTTCGTTTTTCTTGACTTTCAATTTTTACAGATAAACAATTTCGCGGAATTTTTTGTATTTTCATATATGCGAGTTTTAAACAAGTAAAGACAATATTCCAAAATATATCAAAAATACCAAAAGGAAAAGTTTCACGAAAAAAAAGTTGTTACGATGAAGACAACGTAATCAAACGTTTTTTGACTCACCCTGTATATATGAGCAAAGAGAATTATTATATAGATTAGTAAAATATAATATTCTTTAATGAAATTGCAATCACTGTATTTCTTGTTGAATGTGTGTCTAATTTGACTAAAGTGTGTAAATATAAAAAATGTTTAGTTTCTTTACCCCTTGAACATACATACAAATCCATCATGCTTCTATTAGGTTAATGCATTCCCTGGTTCTATCTAGATTGTGGGAACCATTCTAAATGATTAAGATTAACAAATTTATAGATAAAAATATATATAAAAGATATTATTTTTCCGCAATTACCAGTTTCTTTATACTTTCCCTAGTTTCGCGGAAGATAACGATTTTTTACCATAACACGGTCAATCGCAGACTTATAGACTTTGATGATGTTGTAGATTAGTATTATAATATTAATCTTTTATAACTTCTATAATTCCATGATGTCGAAAAGCAGAATCATTCACAATTGGATTTGTAGACTGAGCTCTACAGATGGATGTCAATGCTCTTAATTATGTTTGAAAATGGGTTTTAAGTTTGTTTTAAAATCTGGTTAAAATTAAACTTTTAACTTAAATTATGTAAAACAACACTATTCAATGAACATAACTGGGATTAAAATTAAATACTAGTTTACAACTAGTTTTTAAAAAGAAGACTTTAATGCTGACTTAAGTTTGATAAAAGTCGACTTTTGATAACTAGTCAAAAACTAGTCATCCCAGTTTTAAAATAGTCAAAAACTAGTCATCCCAGTTTTGAACTTGGAACAATTGGAATTCGTAAAAAAAAAGACTTTTTCATCTCCAGTTTTAAACTATAAGTCAAAGATTTGGAATAAAAAGTCGTAAAAAATGACTTTTTTATCTCCGTTTTGAAGTAATCAAAAACTTGTAAAACTTGCAAAAACTCAATTATACTTCTGAACTTGTCATGAACAAAAGATTTTCTTTAAAAATCAAATTTTACTCGAATTTAATATTCGACTTAACCATGACTTTAAAAGTAGACTTTTTCTTGACTTCTCTTTTGTTTTGATGGCATAAATGTAAAAGAAACCAGACGCAAATATTTTAGAAAAAACAACCTGTAGTAAATCTTATCATTTTGGAAAAAAAATACGATTTCTGTTTACTCAATGTCAATAAATTGTGAATTTTTTAATTAATTTCGTTTTCAAGTAACTGTAGTAGGTACAGAGTAAGGTGCCTGCATATCTGACAATTGATGAAAAATTGATGAATAAATGTTGATTTAGACGATGAATATGTACGGGTGTGCGAATTTGGATAAGAAGTCGACTTAAACTTCACTTTAAAAACGAATAAAGCTCCATTTAAAAACCGACTTAAAATCGAATTCATTAAGCTTTTAGACAGCATGGATATTGGTTTACACATAAAGAAAGAAGAGAAGCTTTCAACTAAAAAGCTTCTCTTTGATTTCTTTTAAACTTGCAATTCAAAAAAAGCTTGTTTGCAATCAAAGCTTAAATATAAAAGTCGTCTTCATTGTATTGATATAATCGCCTATCACTGTTTAAAAATGAGCAGCCTCAGACCAAAGTTATCTCCAAAACACCGTCAGGGGGGGTACCAGTGACCCCTCCCCCCGTTGGCTGGAATAAGGTTAATGGCTTCTTGCCTGGCTTGTATATTTAATGATCATTGGACGGTAATTGATCCAACAATCTATCATTTGTTAAAAAAAGCATATATATAGAACGACCAGACCATATCCTTCAAAATGAATTGGGTCTAAATCTTTAATGAACTTCTTCTTCAAAAATCGAATTGAAAAAATAAAATATTCTTTATACTTGTTGTTTTCATGTTGTTGATATTTGATAAACTACATATTTGTAATTTTTCATAAGGATTTCTAAATTTTATATCACTGCATCATTGTTTATTGATACTAATACATATTTATTAAAGATTATGTTTTTAATATTAATCTTTTACCATTTTAAATAACATAAAATTAAAAACACCTGTCAATACATGTCAATACATGTCTGAGCTCTCTTGTATTGAAGATATTGATATTAATGCTTAATCTTGATTTTTTGTTAATCTGCAGATTAATGTGACCTTTTTAATATCTTCTGTGTAATTGTACCCTAAATGGAAAACTGAAATGAAAAGATTTAGCATTGATCCTCAAATTTAAAGTCTCCACTGTAGATATTGAGATCAACCGATCTAAATTATTAGTATCTAATACAAAAAAAGTTCCAAGCTTTAGACAAGGAAATTTTTTAGACCATATTCTATAATATGTTTTTTTTATTCTAATATGTTTTTTTATACCATTGTTAGTTTTCAATCTAGCAAAATATCCGGTTTATTATGATGACTTTTCCGTATTTTCCTTTTGCATTGACTTCATAAAGGAGATTATAACAAGCTTGCATGGTTACAGCACTTAAAGAACTTGTGT